CGTACGTCCGTCGGTCGTTCGTTCGGTCGGTCGGTCGGTCGGTCGTCCCCGTCCCCCCCTCCCCCCCCGCCCCCCCCCTCCCCCCTCCCCCCTCCTCTCTCTGGACGTACCCGTTCAGGACGGCCGGCTGGCCCTTGGCCTCACCCACCATGTCAAAGACCTTGACAGTGGTGTCAGAAGAGGCAGTGGCAAGGCGCTTGCCGTAGTAATCAAGCTGCGCATCGTGGACCATGTCCTCATGTCCTGTCTCAATGCCCTGTGCCGCCATCTGTCTGTCTAATCTGCCCAAACGATTGCCAACGATGACGACAAGTGGTCCTCCCTCGCAACGTCACCTCGGTATGAAAGGCCGGTAGGCCATGCCGAGGACGGTCCGACTCGCAGACTCTTACCGTTTGTCTCCTCATTCCCTGCACTCTTGGTCTACTGACTTTATTCACCTCAATCATTGCATGATCGATCCCCGCCTCTGTTTGGTGATGGCTCGGTTGGGGTGGGGATGGCTCGGTCGGCGTGATCGGTTGGCGTGGGGATGGCTCGGTTGGCGTGGGGATGGCTCGGTCGGCGTGATCGGTTGGCGTGGGGATGGCTCGGTTGGCGTGGGGATGGCTCGGTCGGCGTGATCGGTTGGCGTGGGGATGGCTCGGTTGGCGTGATCGGTTGGCGTGGGGATGGCTCGGTTGGCGTGAGAATGGCTCGGTCGGCGTGATCGGTTGGCGTGGGGATGGTTCGGTTGGCATGAGGATGGCTCGGTTGGCGTGGGGATGGCTCGGTCGGCGTGATCGGTTGGCGTGGGGATGGCTCGGTTGGCGTGAGAATGGCTCGGTCGGCGTGGTCGGTCGGCGTGGGGCATTCACCACACGCCCGGGATCAGGCGCGCCTTGCCGACGATCGCATCCTGGCCAAACTTGGCGACGTACCACTCGGCGGTCGCAGAGGCGGTGACAGCGAGATTGATGACAACAAAGAGCACGCCCGTCGTGAGGGCATGGTGCCATCGGCCGGCGGCGGCGATGGCGAAGTAGACAATGACCTCGCCTGTGTAGTGCGGGGCGACAAGGCGGGAGAAGGGTGCGCCACGCGGGATGACATACCGCGGACCGGAGCCAGGTGTCCGTGCACGGGCAAGGGTAGCATGGGCAGAGACTTGAAGAGCCGAGCCAGCGAGAAAGGCGGCGAGAATGGCGGCGCGGGCGGGAGCGAGAGGCGAGAGGAGCCAGCGGCGGCGACAGCAGCAGATGCGACAGCCATGGGCATGGCGAGGTAGAAGCCCACGCCGGCAGCGAGATGGAAGAGCGAGAGCTTGCGCGGAGAGTAGACGTGGACGCACCAGGTCTCGATGGCTCGCTGGAGGAGATGAAGCGCAAAGAGGACAACAACGTCAGCAGAAGCGAGTTTGGTCAGATCGAGAAGGAGCAGCCCAAAGAGAGCCGCAAGGCCAACGAGGTAGAAGGCGCGCCAGCCAGCAGCGGCCGAGCACGTGTCCATCTCCCACCAAGGCGAGCGAGCAGGGTGCGGGTGTGGTGATGAGGACGAGGAGGAAGCTGTCTTGACCTTGCCATAGCGGACTGCGTTGTCGAGGAGGGGTAAGAAGGGCTTGACGGCGTATGCTGCAAGGGAGGCGAGAAAGAAGGCTGTCGAGGCCAAGGCCCATGCCTCGGCAGGCGTTGGCCACGGCATGAGGGGTGGGCAGGCGTGAGGGAGTGCTTGTCTGCGGTTGACGGGAGTGGAGAAGCAGAGGCTCGGAGAGAAGTGCAGCGGAGTGAGAGAAGGCGTGTTGTCGGAGTGATGTGTGTGTGTGTGTGTGTGTGTGTGTGTGTGTGTGTGTGTGTGTGTGTGTGTGTGTGTGTGGGGAGACGACCCTGTGCGCGTTTGCTGTGACGTTTATCGACAGGTCCAGGAGGCGGGCAGAAGCGGGCAGCAATGAGAGAGTATGCTCCGCACCACACGCTTTAGTCGAGGTGTAAGAGAGGAAGCGTGCCGTATTGAAGCTGTTGATCGAGGCGCTGTCAGGTGGACGTGGCGAGAACAGGAGCGATCGCCACTGCAGCCTTGATCACACGACGCCATATGAGAGTGGCGATAGCAGAGCAGAGTCACTTTGAGGAGGTGTGCATCGGAGGAAAGTACAGCGACCATTAAGAGACGGAGCTCTAGCCGAGAAAAGATGGCCAGCAATACGGCGAGAACAAGCCCAGGATCTGATCTGGTCGTGATGGGGAACGCCAGAGTCAAGATGCCGAACAAGACAGAGCGTGATCATGGTGCATCCATATGGCCACAAGTATAGCGAGATGTCAGAGCAAGAAGGATGGAAAGGCGATGTAGTGACTGGCGTGCTGGCTTCGAGCCAACGTAGCCAGCAACAGGTAAGGGTGAGACTCGGCAGGAATGAATGAAAGAATTGGGAGGAGGGAGGGGGACCAGGGGCGAGTCGGGAGGGAAGGAATGAAAGAAGGAATGCGAGGGTGAGAGACGAGCGAGTTGAGCTCGCGCGGTTTTTCAGTTTGCGGTCACCACTCCACTCGACCCAACATGAAGATTATCCAGTCGGCACAGTTTGTGGACATCCCTGAGGGCGGTACGTAGCGGTGGTAGCAGGATATAGCGTTAAGAGCGAATGAGAAGAAGGGTATACCCATGTATAGCTATACATAGTCAATGAGTATACCCATGTGGTAGTGTGTGTCGGTGACAATGGCTCTATCCCCCTCCCCTCGGTCCGCTCTCCTCGCACCATGTCCTGGTTTCTGATGTCGCCCTTCTGTTTTTGTATGACGGTCGGCCTGCTAGCTACACCGCCACCACAGAGCCCACCACTGCCACCACACGCACGCAGAGCATTCTATGACTCTTCTATCTCCTCCTTTGCCTCCTTGTCGTATCCGTACCCTCTCTCTATTGACTCTGCTTGCCAGAACAGGTCGCTCGTCGGCCTCCCGTCTCGTCGCCCAACCGAGCCCATCGCCCGCGCCGGCTCCCCCCCTCCCGGCTTAGCCCCCCCCCTTCCTCCCCCCCTCCCCTGCCAGTCCTACCCACACCCACTCACCCCCCTTTGTCACCTGCTCCGTCTACAGTCACCGTGACGATCAAGTCGCGGAACGTTACCGTGACCGGCCCGCGTGGTACCCTCACCCGCCGGTTCAACCACCAGATGCTCGAGATGGAGCTTGTGGAGGGCGGCAAGAAGGTGATGGTTCAGTCGTGGCACTCGAACCGCAAGAAGCTGGCGTGCATCCGGACGACGGCTTCGCATGTGCAGAACATGATTGTCGGCGTTACCCAGGGCTACCGGTACAAGATGCGCCTTGTGTACGCTCATTTCCCCATCAACACTTCGATTGTCAAGGACGGCAAGGAGATCGAGATCCGCAACTTCCTCGGCGAGAAGCGGACACGTGTGGTTCCGATGCGCGAGGGCGTCATCATCAAGCGTGGTGAGGACGTCAAGGACGAGCTCATCCTCGAGGGCAACGACGTCGAGAAGGTCTCGCTCACTTGCTCGGACATCTACGGGTCCACCCTCGTGAAGAACAAGGATATCCGCAAGTTCCTTGACGGTGTGTACAAGTCGGAGTCGGGCCCCATCCCCGTTGACGAGTAAATCCCCTCTTCTGCGTCTGCTCCCCCTCTCTTCAATCGCTGTCGTAGCAGAATGAGTTTGGGCAGGGTGAGCAGGTGTAGGACGCAAGGAACAAGGCGTCGGCCTTGCTTTTCTTGGTGGTCTCTGTCCGTGCGCCACACTCATCTCGGGAGAAGGAGGTCAAGACAGGGTCCGCGGTGGGGATGTGGCATCGACCGGAAGCAGAAACGAAACATATACTCGGGCATGTATCATGGTAGGTGGGGGGGGGGGCAAAGGGGAGGCGTGAGTGTGTGGCCCGGACTCATCTGTGCGGGCTTTCTTTTTTTGATTCCGGTTCCGTAGAGCATGGCGCATTGTAGGCTAGGAGAGATAAAGAGAGAAGACGCGGGAAGGGACTAGTTGGGTGCAGTGGCAAGAGCACAAAGACAGGGGTGAGGGGCAGCGTACGAGGTAGACGACGTGCAACACGGCGACGGATGCCATAGCCGAAAGCCACCAACGTGGCGGAGGATTGCTCTTTATTTTTTTCAGCTGCAACAAGGCGTGGCGAGTCACATCGTATCTTTCTCCTACGCGGTGACGGATGCGTAGGACGACCATGGCGACGGATACGTAGCTTCAACATGGCGGCGGATGCGTAGCTCCAACATGGCGGCGGATGCGTAGCTCCAACATGGCGACGGATGGCGAGCTCCAACATGGCGACGGATGCGTAGCTCCAACATGGCGGCGGATGCGTAGCTCCAACATGGCGACGGATGCGTAGCTCCAACATGGTGACGGATGGCGAACTCCAACATGGCGACGGATGCGTAGCTCCAACATGGCGACGGATGCGTAGCTCCAACATGGCGACGGATACAACCACGTGACGACTCAACACACGGCTGCAACTCGACGCGATCCACAACAGCTAGAGCTACTAAACTCTTCTGGTCTCTGTCACGGTCATATTCAGAGCCAGATGTGGTCCCCGTCTCGGTCCCTGTCTCCATCTCGATGCCTGTCTCCTCGCCCGCCACGCCCCTCGCCCGCCGATGCGTCAGCCGCCATCCCACCGCCATGGCAGTCACCGCCACTGCCACCGCCACTGCCATCCCCACCCCGATGATCAACACCACTCCAGTCGAGTCCGAGTCCTTATCTTCCACGACCTGTGTCCTCTCTCCGCTACTTTTCCCGCAGCGCCTGTGCACGATGACAGACCGGCCCTCGGCGTTGGTCACCACGTCCATATCGCCGTCGCTGTCGACGTCAACACCGATCCCCCAGCCGCGGACGTGCGAGAGCTCGACAGCATGCCGCCGCCCACGACCAAATGCAACGCCCGCCTCCGTCTCTATCCACTCCAGCGCCATTCCGTTCTTCACATCAAGCACCAGCAGGTCAACATCGCCGTCAGCGTCCATGTCGACCACGCTGCGGACAACTGCGCCGTCGTCCGCCTCGTGCGCCATCCACACTCCGCCCACCCCGTCGATGTTCTCGGCCCATGAAGCGCCCTGAGGCGATGCTGGCACCACGTCCAGATCGCCATCGCCGTCTACGTCCACAACATGCGCCTGAATGACGTCCAGCCCGAGCCCGTCCCCGAGCTCGTCCTTGAGCACCCGCCCCGGCCCCATCGCCCCGCTGGTTGCCAGCTCGTTGCGGAACCACACAAGGCCGGCAGGCAAGCATGCGGCCACAATGTCGATCGCTCCATCGCCGTCCACGTCGCCCATCTCAAACTGGAGGCACTCCCCAGCCCAGTCCTGCGTCACGTTACCCACGTTCCGTCCGCCAAACTCGCTCTCTCCGCCACGCCCAAACCAGAATAGTGTGCCGTCGTTCGAGATGGCCACCAGCTCGCTCATGCCATCGTTGTCCAAGTCGGCGAGCGCCACGTCCTCGATCGCCGCCGCCCCGCTCCAACTGGCCTCAATGCCATGCTCGTACCATCCGCCGCTGCCGTTGTTCTCAAACCAGAGCGTGGCCCCGGCGATCGTTCCAACCACCAGATCGATGTCGCCGTCGTGGTCGACGTCGCCGGCCACCACCGCCCGTGTCGGCTCTCTCGTCACCACCACTGCCGCAGCAAAGGCTCCTGTCTCTTCGCCGGTGTTGACAAAGACTTCGATGCCCACGTTTGACGCCACCACCAGATCGGGCACTCTGTCGCCGCTCACATCGGCTGCTCGCATCAAGTAGATTATCGCCGACGCCGCCCACGGCCGCACCGTCTCAGCCGGGCCGAACCCGACGTCCAGGTCTTGGCTCCCGTGGTTTGGCACAAACGAGAGCACCACTCCGTTGTTGACCACCAGATCAATGGCTCCATTGCCGTCCATGTCGGCAAGGCCAATCGCTCGGGACTCGACCCGGTTGGTCACCCTCCGCGACTCCCACGCGCTCCCGTTTCTGACCTGGTAGTAGACAGCTCCGATTGCATCCGACGCCACAAAGTCGTCGCGCCCGTCGCCGTTCACGTCGCCGATCACTGTCGGCCCGTGCGCAAATATGCTTGAAGCCGGAAGCACCTGGCTGGCACCAAAGACCCCGTCGCCGTTGTTGGCCCAGACAAGTGCGTCACCGTCGTAGACCTTGACCACCGCATCGCCGTCGCCGTCGCCGTCGACGTCGTACACGTATATCATCGCTCGCGAGTCGAGCTCTGTCGGCACCGCCAGCGTCTGCTGTGCCCATTGCTTGACTGCAGGCCTGCTGTTCTGAAGCACAACAAGCCCGGTACTTGTCCGCGCAACGATGTCAACTAGGCTGTCGTTGTCAATATGGGCGGCGATGACATCGCCCGCATCGACCGCTGCGAGTGTGCTCGCCTCAAACACGCCCGAGCCGTTGTTGGCGAGGAGAGCGATGCCACTGCTTCCGACGACGACGACGTCGTTATCGCCGTCGATATCAACGTCTGCCACTGCCATCCGACGGCCGCTTGTTGCGTTCATCGCCTGCTCAACCCAAATCTCGCCATCGCCGTCGACATTCTCCCACCACGCAGTTTCCCCGCCTGCGAGCACAAGTGCGTCGTGATCACCGTCGCCGTCGACGTCGACAAGGGTCGCGTCCTCGAGATTGGACACAGTTGTGATGGTGGCGCTCTCTGCAAACGTCCCATTACCTGTGTTCTTGTACACTTTCATCGACCATCTCGCCTGTACCTGCGTCAGCACGACGACGTCGACGTCGCCGTCATTGTCGACGTCGCCGACAAGACCGCCGACGATTCTGTCAGTTGTCATGCCACTGATAATCCGCCCGCCACTGCCAGAGAACGGCGAGCACGGGCCAAGCGAGCCATTTGCGTCGCACACAATGGACACGGCCGCGATCGCGACCATTGTCCAAGCCAGTCCGACTGGTGTGTCACGGGTGAGTGGACAGAGGCGGCTGTGTTGGGGTTGTTGGCCTGCAGGCAGGGGATCGGAACGTACGTCTTGACCACATCGCTGCTCTTGAAGTAGTCGCGTGTCGTCAGCTTCCGCGATGCACGTGGGTGCGGACCAAGTGCGGGGTTGGTCAATCGTGCCCGTGTGTCCATGACGCGTTTAAGCGCGTGGGAGCGGGGTTGCGGTCATTTCCCGGCGTCTCAAAAAAAACTCCCGTGCCCAACACTCCGACTTCTCACCCCGCTCCCACCTCTTGATGCAGTGGTCAGTCCTGCAGCACCTCTTTCACCCCACTCCACCTCACTGCCATACATCCTGTTTCATCCACTGTACGTCGCCCCTTTCACCTCATTCCATCCCTCTCCGTACCCTCTGCGCCTGCTTCATCGTTTCCCCGGTTTTTTCCTCTCTCCACCTCCACCACCACTCACACCGCCTCCTTCCCCCGCACAGCACCAACACCAGCACCACTGTAGGGTGAATGAAGTAGTAGGTACACCCACAACCACGCCGTCTCATCACATGCGCACCTGTACTCTCCGAGTCTGCCGATCTATCTTGTCGCTCGGCTCCTCCTCCCATCTCGATCCACCCCCCCCCCCCCCCCCCCCTCCGCACACCCAAACGTTCGTCGAACCTTCGCCGGCACTCCCGCACGACGGGCGACACAAGCCCTCTGTGTCGCGATAGGGGCAGAGCGAGGCAGTACGACGGCACTTCTCCGTCCGAGAGTCATCGAAGACGATGTCCGGACTCTTTGGGGTAGTCTTCCACTTCTTCTTCATTCTCCCCATCATGTGGTTCTTCTCCTTTGCCCAGGCTGTGGCCTCTGCCTTTGGCCTCCTCCCCTCACTCCCTTCCCCTGCCTCCTCTGACCTGGCAGCAAAGGTGGTACTTGAAGACGACCAACGGGAGCTAGCTTCAGAGTTTAACAACGCAGACTCGGTAGACGACAAGGCCCGCCTCATGCACATCCTTGACCACATGAAGCGCTCTGTACGTCTTCCCCCTTCCCCCCTACCTACCGTCCCCCCCCCCCCCCCCCCTTCCTGGGCTCTCCGTGATGGTGTCGCCCCTCCTCTCCCCCCATCTTGGCACTCGGCCACTCACGCGCACCACACTCACGCGCACCACACTCACACGCACCACTCCCGCCCTCCTCTCCACACACATAGCTTTCGGATGAAACGCTCCTTGATCATCTTGATGAGGCTACTGCTCTTCTCAAGCGGGATGGTGGGCTGGGGATCATCGATGACTCTACTCCTTCTCCTCGGTTGTCATCATCGTCTTTGGCTGCAGTCACCGCTGGCTCGCGGTCAACAGTGGCATCGTCGTCGAACCCGACAAGGCTCTCCATCCCGCCGCGTCCGCCTGCGTCTGATGCCTCGTCTACCTCACCATCGCCTCGGATGTCTACCCCGACGTACCGTCCGGCTCCACTCTTTGTTCCGGGTCCCGACGAGATGCTCGGCTCGCGAACGTCGCAGGAGACGCCAGCAACGTCGCCGTCGGGCGATGGCAGCCCTGCTGCCGAAGAGACAACCAACATCAATGCGGCGTCGTTCTTCTCTGCCGCCACGCCGGGCGTGGCCCTCTCCTGGATCGGGGCCCGCCTCTGGCGCATCATGCCCGACGTCATGTGGGCGTGGTCGACGCCTGCCGAGGTCCCCGAGCCTGCCGCCCGCGACGCCATTCTTGACGGCGTCCTCTCGTCGCGCAAGGTCATCGCGGTCGCTCGGCAGATGGGCCTCACCCGATCCGAGCGGCACCGGCAAGTCCGCGCCATCCTCAACACCATGGTCGCCGTCCAGAACCTGCGCGTCATCCGAATCATGGCGTGGATTATGAAGAAGCTCTGGGGCTATCTCTACCCGTTTGGCATCCACGTCAAGGAGGAGGAGGTCGATATGCTCCACCGCTACGCCGGTCGCGCCCCGTTTGTTATTGTGCCTACCCACAAGTCGCACATTGACTACCTCCTCTTTACCTACCTCTGCTTTGCGCGCGGACTACCCATTCCGCACGTTGTCGCCGGCATCAACCTCAACATCCTCTTTGTGGGGCCCATCCTCCGGTGGGGCGGCGCGTTTTTCATTCGCCGCTCCTTTGCTGGTGACCTGCTGTACCACGCCGTCTTTGACGCCTACGTCACCCAGCTCCTCGTCTCGGGAGCATCGGTGGAGTGCTTCATCGAGGGCGGCCGCTCGCGGTCGGGCAAGGTCCTTCCACCCAAGTCGGGCTTCCTCAAGGTTGTCATCGACGCCGTCGTCGAGGGTGACGTCGCCGACGCTCTCATTGTCCCGGTCTCGCTCAACTACGACCGCATTGTTGAGAACGACTCGCACATCAAGGAGCTGTCGGGCTCGGAGAAGAACGCCGAGCAGCTGCTCGGCTTCCTCTCCGCCTCGTTCACCCTCCTCTACCGCATTCTCTCCGGCAAGATCTGCCTCGGCTCTGTTGATATCGGCATTGGCCAGCCAATCTCTGTCAAGCAGTTTGTCGTCGACGCTGCCCTCAAGCTCGAGACGCGCCACGCTTGTGACGTGGTTGCGGCCTCGCTCCGCCAGCCCTCGCTCACCAACATGCAGATTCTTCGCGAGCTTGACGTCCCGGTCCGCGACATTGTCACCCGCGGCGTCCCGCTCGCGCCCATGGCCTCTTTGCCCGTCCGGCTTGACGACTCTGAGGTGCGCCCCTCTGACTCTGATGACGACTCGGAACCTGGCACGGCCTCCGAGTCATCGTCCGACACTGACTCTGACGACGAGCTCGAGCCGCAGGCTGAGCCGGCGGCCAACGCGTCTGCCTGCGACGGTTCGTCGTCTGCCGAGGGCCCGAGCCTCAAGCGCATGCTCTCTGCGCTTTCACCCGAGGCGCAGTCGGCCCTTTCTGGTGTCAAGAAGCCGGACGCGCCGCTCCGGGCGGCCACTTTTCCCTCGCCGTCGGCCCAATCGCCCGAGGGCGGCCTCCTCGCTCTCGCCGCGCCGCCAACGCCGCGGTCGCTTGACAAGAACTCATCCGAGGCCCGGGCGCTCGTCGCGGCGCTCACAGCCCATCAGCGCAAGCGCATCACCTTTTCGCTCGGGTATACTACCCTCTACGCGTGCAACACCTCGTCGGTTGTTCTCCCAGCCGCCCTCGTTGGCACGGTCCTCCTCACGCACTACACCCGCGGCATGCGCTACTCGGAGCTGGTGCAGAAGGTCAAGTGGCTCCGCCGCGAAGTCAACGAGCGCGGCGGCCGCGTTGAGTCACGCGACGGGGCTTCGCTCTCCAAGTCGATCACCACGGTCCTCGACCGGGTCCTCCAGCGCGGAGGCCGCAACCGCGGCCTTGTCAAGCTGCACAAGGACATTGTCATGCTCTCGCTCTACTCGCCGCAGGAGCGGATGGAGCTCTCGCTTTACCGCAACCAGCTCATCCACAACTTTGTCCCAGAATCGCTCCTCCTCTGCTCCATGTACGCGTTTGAGAAGGCAGCCGGGGCCCTCGTCGCGGTCGAGGAGTCGGACCTACTCGTTACAACTCGCTTCCTCTCCTCCCTCCTCAAGCGTGAGTTCATCTTCAAGCCCTCGCCCGGCGCTGGGCACAACTTTGCCGAGATTGTTGCCCGCCTCCTCGACCGCGGCGTCCTCCTTCGCACAGACGACGGCATGCTCACTGTCAACGACTACGACCTGTACGCCCGGACTGGCGACGCCCCTGGCACGGCGCACGACGAGCACGACGCCTCGCGCGGCACCTCGATGTACCTCTTCCTCGCGGCCCTCCTCTGGCCCTTTATCGACTCCTACTGGCTCGCTGCCCTCTCGCTCTACCACCTGTACCCAGACCGCAACGTCTCGTCCAAGGACCTCATCAACTACACACAGAAGCTCGGTGAGCGTCTTTACTTTGAGGGCCAGATCGACCTGTACGAGGCCGTCTCCAAGGAGACCGTCGGCAACGCCATCAAGCTTTTCATGGAGAAGGGCGTCGTCGAGGCCGTCCACGTCCAGAACCAGTTCACCACTGCTCCCATCGTTCGCCTCACCAAGGACTACCACTCGATGGCCGCCATCGACTCGCTCATCCGCAACGTCGGCGTTTCAAGAAGCGCTCGCGCATGTACCGCTCGCGCCGTTTCAAGGCCATCACCACCACAGACATCGACGACGGCATTGCCATCGTCCGCCGGCACGAAGGCATCGCTGCCGAGTGATCGGCCAGCCTTACCTTTTCAGGAACGGAGTGGACAAATCTGTCCACGCGTTCCAGCACGCGATATGGTGCCCCACACATGTTTGACGACAACGCGCCCGAACGACCATACCGTCAAAAGTGGTAAACTCCAGCTCATGATTGTAACTCGTTCGAGTTGTTCCTCGCCCCTGTACGATTATCTCTCATTGGAGTAATCGTTTCCACCAACCACCCCTGTACGATTATCTCTCATTGGAGTAATCGTTTCCACCAACCGCCCCTGTACGATTATCTCTCATTGGAGTAATCGTTTCCACCAACCGCCCCTGTACGATTATCTCTCATTGGAGTAATCGTTCCACCAACCGAGGAACCTCCCCTCCCCCTCCCCCCTCCCCCCCCCCCTCCACCCCACCCCACTCCACTCCCCACCACACCATGGCCACAGAGAAGTCGTCGGCATACCCCGTGGGTGGGGTGCTGTGGGAGTACTCCTCGGGAGTGTTCTCTTCGGGATGGTCCCAGCGGTGGGGCGCCGTCGACGCCTCGAGCGGCTCGCTCCACCTGTTCACCGCAAAGCCACGCTGCATTCGCCGCAGGGTACAGAATGGGGTATGTGTAGGGAAGGGGGGAGGGGGACGGGGAGGGGGATGGGGATGATGGTGGGGTAATGGGCATGGGGATAGGCATGGACATGCCGGACATGGTGGACATGGCGGACATGATGGACATGATGGACATGGTGGACATGATGGATGGACATGATGGACATGATGGACATGGTGGACATGACGGACATGATGGACATGATGGACGTGATGAACATGATGGACATGACGGACATGATGGACATGATGGACATGGTGGACATGACGGACATGATGGACATGATGGACATGGTGGACATGATGGACATGGTGGACATGACGGACATGGTGGACATGACGGTGATGGTGCTGGTGGCCATGACCATGATGGTGGCCATGATGGTGGCCATGATGGTGGCCATGATGGGCCATGATGGGCATTCAGTTCTTGGTAGCCATGATGGCCATGATGCACTCTATGGCCACAATGACTATGACTGCGATGATCACCACGCAACGACGGGCGGTCACAGAAACCTCTTCATCTTGGACTCACGTGCTCCCCCCTCCTCCCCCCCCCCCACATACACTCAGACATTCTGGTCGTCCTCCCGCAAAAAGGTCAATCTCGCTGAAGTCACTGACCTCGTCATCGACGACACAAAGGGCCCGTGCTTCTCGCTCAACACAGGTCGCCACAAGCTCCAGCTCAAGGCGCAGAAGCCCGAGTACCGCGCCGAATGGATCGCCGCCATCTCGCCCCATCTCTCCACACCATCGGCTCTCGAGTCTGCCTCACTCATCGCCCCGCCGCCGACTCCGGCCGCCGTCGGCGCGCCTCCCCCCGCTGTCGCCCCGCCGTCGTTTGCCTCCAACGCGGCTCCGCCTCCCCATCATCCGCGCCCGGGCATGGCCGCAGGCGTCGCTGCAGGCGCTGTTGTCGGCGGCTCCGCCGCATACGCAGCATCGGCCTACTCCCCAGCCTCTGCGGCCACTCCGGCATCGGCACCCCCACCAGCATTCTCCGATCCTCCCGCCGCCTCCACTCCGCCGCCGCCGGCCTTCTCCAGCCCGGCCGCCGCCTCGGCCCCGCCGCCACCGGCCTTCTCCGCCCCAGCCGTCGCCTCGACCGCCTGCGCCCCCGGCGCCACGCCCTGGGGCCCTCCCGCCAACCCGGCCGCCTATCGCCCTGCGCTTTACTAGTAACACTCCTCTCGCTGTCGTCCATCTCATGCTCGCCTTTGTTCGCAACGCGTCATCGCTCTCGCTTGTCCGCGCCATCGCCTCATCAGCCTGCCTCGCCCTCCCCGATCCGTCCATGGAGGACCTCCTCCGCCAGCTCAACGAGTCGGGCGATCTGCCCGAGCTGGAGCTCGAGCCGCTCGGCGGGCGCGACGATCGCCTCGTCGTCCCGGGCCATCCCGTCCTCCACGCGCCCGCCCCGCCGACCCTTCCGGCTCCGACTTCCTCACCCGCCGCTGTCCAAAAGCTCATCGAGACGCCGTCCGACAACGGCGGACTCGCTAACGACCTCGATCTCCTCGTCGACGTCCTTGCCACCCATGGCGCCCTCGGTGTCGCCGCCCTCAGCTCGGCATCGCCAAGCGAGTCTTTGTGGTCGATGCCGCCGTCGCTGGCCCGGCCATCGACCCACTCTCCGCCCACAACGAAACCGCCGACGAGGAAGACGACATCGTGGCTGTGGCCTGGATCGACCCGACGGTCGTCTCGGCCTCCTCCCCGCCGTCGTGGTTCTGGGAGGGCTGCCTGTCGCTCCCGGGCCTCTACGGCTGGGTCGCTCGCCCTTCCGCCGTCGTCGTCTCCGGCTGGACCGCCACCCTCACCGCCGCCGGCTCCTGGAGCCTCACCCACAGCGCAGACATGCGGCTGGAGGACCTCCCCGCGAGGGTCTTCCTCCATGAGGCCGACCACCTTGACGGCCGGCTCTTCCCCGACCGCCTCTCCGCGCCCGCTTCGCCCTCCCGGCCGACCTCGTCGACGACATCGAAGGCTCAGACTATCCTTCGCCCGCAGCCGCACGGACCCGCCCAGGCGCCTTCTCGCCCGTCGAGTAGCCGCGCCACACCTTGCTCCATCTCTGCTCTCACCTGCATCTGCATCCGCGTCCGCAGTGCCCGATCACCATCCCGCCTGCCCTCGTTTACCTCCTCATCAACCTGCGAGCCACTCCTCCAGCATCTGCGCCGCCTCGCCCTGCCCGGCTCCGCGCGCATCTGACGCCACCCGCCCCACTCTTGCCGCGATCTCTACCTCACCTCGTGGTGTCACATCGAGGAGGGCGGCGACAACTGGCACGTGGCCACGCACCGCCGCTGTGTGCAGCGCCGCGTCCAGCTTGCTCAACGACTCTGCGCTTGCGTGCTCGAGGAGGAGCTGGACACACTCGAGGTACCCACGCGTCGCCGCTCGCTCGATCGCAAAGTGTTCGCGCTCCTCAGTTTCAGCCGTGCTCCACACCAGCAGCAGTCGGAGCACGGCTGCGTGCCCGCTGCTGGCCGCCACCCCGATGGCCTTGCCTACCGCCTCACCCGCGCCGCCCAGCCCGGCATCAAGCAGAAACGCGACCGCGGCGTCACTTCCGATTCGCGCTGCCGACACTAGGGTGCGCGGCTCAAACTGCGTCTCGGGCGCAGCCGCCACCAGCGTGCGAACCACATCCATGCACCCGTTGGCAATGGCCCAGTTTGCCGCCTGCCACCCGTTGGCGGCCACATCGACCCGTCCATCGGCGAGCAGTAGCTCCACCACTTGGCCTCGGCCAGCCCGCGCCGCCGTCCGCAGTGCTGCCGAGTTGTCCGCCCGCGGATCGACTCGCGGATCGGCCAGCAGCTCGGCCACCGCCGACGCGTGGCCCGACCGCGCCGCCCATCGCAGCGCATAGTTGTCGAGCACGCCCGGATCGACGCGCCCGTCGGCCAGCAGCCGGCGCAGAATGTCGACATGCCCAAACTCGGCTGCCCATCGTAGCGGATAGCCCGAATCAAACTGGACGTCCACCGCAGTTGCATTGAGGAGCTCGGCCACCACCGCAGCGTGTCCGCTGTTGCACGCCCACACAATCGCCGCGTTGTTGCTCCATCCCACATCGGTCTCCGGCATCGCCACCAGCATTCGCACCACCTCTGCAGCGCCCGCGTTGGCCGCCGCCACCAGTGCCCGCGAGAGCATTGCCGTCACTTCAGCTGCAGGCATCGCTAGGACAGCGCGTACAGTTTCGACTGCGCCGACAGCGCCGACCGCTGCTCCGGCAACAAGCAGTTCGCGCAAGTCTGCAGCCGCAAGCTGTGCAAGCTCAGTCAGCCGCCGCCGCCATTGCCCTCCCTCGCTCTCGCTCAGACCGACCGTCGTCCCCGTCGTCGTCCTCCTCGTCACCCCCAGCCGCGCGAGCGTGCCGAACGTGTGGCTGATGGTCAACGCACCCGGCGGAGGAACCTGGCCGATGACCTCGTCGGTGGCCCAGAGCGCAGATCGGACGTGGGCATGGTCCACGCACCACATCAGACCCATCGCTGCATACACTTTGTCCCGTCCGTATTCGTTGCCAAGAATCATCCGGTACAACGTCTTGCACGTCATGCCCAGCGCCACCATGTCCTCCGCCGTAAGCACCTTGCTCGCAAACGCAATCAGCTGCACGATCTCCACCGGAAAGTCCGTCAGCACCACACCTTGCCCCTCATCGGTGCCATTGGTCCCCGTAGCTGCCATTTGCTGCCTTGATGCTCTCTTGATGCTGTCCTGATACCCACCGCCTGTCGTTGTCGCTGCCTCTAAATCCCTCGAAAATACTCCGACGAAGACAGAGAGAGAAGCGTGTGACCGACGGACGGCAGCCTTGTCCCCGCTTGGAATCGTAGCGGATTGTGGCCTACAATTTACCTACACCACCACGACGGGTCAGTCCGTCTGAAAGGGAGACAATGGCAAATGCTGTGGAGGAGAAGATCTGGTCAGGAACGACCCGTGTCTTGACCTTGAACCACGGGACGTCGAGCCGTGCCGCAAGGTCACGGATCGAGGCCGTCTCGCGGGTGCGCGACAAAGACGGCGGCGGTGGCGGAGACGCGGTGCGGTGCCGGTCGAGCGCGCCATCCCCGATGTAGTGCGGATACGTCTGTGCAGCGGCATCGAATCGGTCGGCGAGGCTCTCGGTCCCCGGGACCTCTCGAGCTAGCCGCCGCCGGGTCTCGTCGCGGGCGCGACGCGCGCGCGCAGCGTGCGCTACCTGCGCCACCACAGAAAGCTTCGAGTTGAGCAACGCAGCGTTGGCCTCCTTCTGTTGCGAGAGCGAAAGGATCGGTTTGCGCGTCGGCGCTGGTCGTGTACCCTGAACCGTAGCGTATGCGTCGCTGATCTCTGCCGAACGAGCCGCGAGGCTCGCCCGTGCCTCGCCGGCGGACCCGAGGATGTTGTCGATGTCGAGCGGTGGTGGCGGCGGCGACGGCGGTGGCGGTGGCGGCGTAATAGCGACTGCTGTCACTGGCGAAGCATCTGGGGTGATGGCCGTGAACGAAAGTCCGGACGTCCGGGTCAGCTCACGGCGCCACTCTGCTGAACTACCAGCAGCCGGCGCGGTGGCCTGTGGACGAGTTGCTGTCTTGATGAGCGGTGGGCGCCGCTCGAGGACAGGCACAGTCTGCAGTGGCTCTGTAACATCCCTACGCGGCAGGGTATGTACAAGCCGGGTGACGTCCCCCTCAAACGACGCAATCTGCGCGTTGAGATCAGCAAGCCGTGCCGAGGTCTCTGCGTACGACCGCGAGAGCTCGGCCGGCTCGGGCTCCGGCCCGCGGAGGGGCGATGACCACGACGGCGGGGATGTGGTGGGCGAGAACGAAGAGAGCGAGAACGGCTCGACCCGCTTGACCGGCGAGATGGATGGCGAGCGGGCACCGCGAAGGCTGTCTGTAAACGACGGGGTCCGAGCCCGCGGGGTGACCGCTGCTGATGGCGGCTGCGGCGGTGGCGTGCGGGCGGTGTCGCGTCCGTCGGCTGCGGGGTGATCGACCGAGTTGGGCGTGCTGGCGTCGTCAAAGAGCATGCCCACCACGTCCTCGTCGACGGCGGCGAGGCCGAGCCGGACGTTGTCAGGATCCGCCAGCAGCGATTCGGCCTCGCGAGAACGGCTCTGCGGCGAGAACGAGGAGTCAATGAACGTCTCGCCGGCGGTCACTCGCAGCACACCGTCGTCCATGGCGTGTGAGAGCTGGAGCGAGCGGGCAAAGCCCGAGTCGCGCGGCGGTGCAGGACTATCCTGCCGTTGCATCAATGGCGACGGTTGCGGCGGCGACGGCATGGTGGCGGGTGGCGGTGGCGGTGGCGGCGGGGGTTGGGTGAGCATGGCGCGGTCGCGATCGCGCCGCTCGGCCTCGAGCTGGCGAATCCGCTCCATGAGCTCGTCCTCGCGCTGGCGCTGGCGCTCACGCTCACGGGCGAGCTCGGACGAGGTCTGCAGCGCAACCGACTTTGGGGACGGAGCCAAAGAAAGTGGACCGGATGCGGCGCGCGCAGCCGTGGCCAAGGTCTCGAGCGCCTGCAGCTCGAGGCGGAGCTCGCGCGACGAAGTGCGTGCAGCGGCGCGCTGGACGGCGGGAATGACAGTGCCGACCGGATCGAGGACGGCGGAGAGAAGTGCGGCTCTACCGGTTGCATCAGTTGCGGACCGGAGGAGCGCGTTAGCGAGCTCGACGACTACAAGCGCGGGGCTCGACTCGGTGAGCGCGGCCCGGATGGCGGCTGCGGCGTCGGGGAGCGCGGTGAGCTGGGAAGCGACAGTGGCGGCAAAGGCCGTGTCGGCGACGGCGAGCGAAGCAAGTGTGTCGAGGACGGCAGTGGCGACGCCAGGCGACGGCTGGCTGGCGAGAGCATCTAGGCCGAGCGCGAGGATCTGCGGTCGGAGGCGGCGGAGCTGGGCGGCGCCTACCGGGAGCGCAGCGATGCGGGCGAGAGCCGTAAGCGCATGGGCGAGGGCGTTACCGACGAGCTTTGGCAGGAGATCGACGAGCACAGCGGGAGCACCCATTTCGACGAGGTGCATAGCGCAGGCCGAGTCGTCGTCGATGGCTCGGGCGAGGCCAAAGAGGAGCGAGGCGAGGTCTCCCGGCGGAGCACGGACGGAGCGCTCAAGGGCAGCGATCCAGATGGCGGCGCGGTGGTCGGGCGGCGAGACAAGGGTGAGAGTAGCTGCGGCGGCGTGGCGGCGGAGGCTGTCAAGGACCTCGCGAACGTTAGATGCGTCGAGGTACTGTCGAAAGTAGAGGGCGACGCCGAGCGGCTCGGGCGAGGCCCGCGGCAGGACCGGCAGGTCACGGCAAAAGACCCGGATGTCGTCGACAGACCGCGGATCTCCGAGGGCGGCAGCAATGGTTGCCACGTTTGCGGCAAACGGCAGGGCGTCGTTCCACGGCAGGGCCTCGGCGTGGCGGACGGGTGCAAGGCCGACGACGTCGTCGGGTTCGACATCCTGGGCCGATGCCCATGTCAGGATGCATTCTGATGGCGGAGGAGCAGATGGCACCGGTGCCGAGTGTGCCATGCGCGGGCTGGTGAGCAGCGATGCGTTGGCCAGGGGAGTGATGGAGGGAGTGGGAGCAGGCGTGGCGGCGGAGGCGGGAGGTTGTGCGTCCGAGCTGCGGTCCTGATCCTGGCCACGACTGCGACTGCGACTGCGGCCCTGATCCCGGCCACGACTGTGACTGCGGCCCTGATCCCGGTCACGACTGCGGCCCTGATCCCGGCCACGACTGCGACTGCGACTGCCCTGATCCCGGCCACGACTGTGACTGCGGCCCTGATCCCGGCCACGACTGCGACTGTGACTGCGGCCCTGATCCCGGCCACGACTGCGACTGCGGCCCTGATCCCGGCCACGACTGCGACTGCGACTGCGGCCCTGATCCCGGTCACGACTGCGGCCCTGATCCCGGCCACGACTGCGACTGCGACTGCGGCCCTGATCCCGGCCACGACTGTGACTGCGGCCCTGATCCCGGCCACGACTGCGACTGCGACTGCGGCCCTGATCCCGGCCACGACTGTGACTGCGGCCCTGATCCCGGCCACGACTGCGACTGTGACTGCGGCCCTGATCCCGGCCACGACTGCGACTGCGACTGCGGCCCTGATCCCGGCCACGACTGTGACTGCGGCCCTGATCCCGGCCACGACTGCGACTGCGACTGCGACTGCGACTGCGACTGCGACTGCGACTGCGGCCACCTTCCCGACCGCCACTCCGACGACGAGTACGAGTACGACTGCGAGTACGAGTGCGAGTGTGATCCGGCCGCTCTGCCTCCCGTACGACAGCCGCAATGGCCGATCGCCAAGCATCGGCCTCATGGGGCTCATCGGCCATGAGCACGATAGGCGGGGAGTCTGCCCTTGGCGGCGGGGCGAGCTGGAAACCCCTTGCGCCCTTCTTGCCGACAAAGGGGTTGACGGAGGCACCTTTGAGGGGGATGACCTATGTATGGGTATGGGTATGGGTATGGGTATGGGTATGGGTATGGGTATGGGTATGGGTATGGGGGGGGGGGGGGTGAGTGTGGGCGTCACGTTGAGCAGGTGATGAGGTGGCGCGAGGGGGTGGGTATGGGCATGGAGGGACATACTCGGTGGATTCGACTGGGATCTTTGGGAGAACAAAGACAGAGGGTATGCGTCGTCGCATTGAGGGCAACATGATGTCGTCGTGTTCGTCGGAAGAGCCCCGAGGAGGGCTCGTACAGTCCGCCCGTCCGGGCAACGGCCATCGCTTCGCCCGTCACGAGTCAGCTGGCGAGCCACCGCCACCGCCACCGCCATCGCCACCGCCACCGCCACCGCCACCGCCATCGCCACCGCCACCGCCACCGCCACCGCCACCGCCACCGCCACCGCAACGGCACGGCAACGCAACGGCAACGCAACGGCAACGGCAACGGCACGGCATCGCCACCGCCATCGCCACCGCCACCGCCACCGCCATCGCCACCGCCACCGCCACCGCCATCGCCACCGCCATCGCCACCGCCACCGCCACCGCCATCGCCACCGCCACCGCCACCGCCACCGCCATCGCCATCGCCACCGCCACCGCCACCGCCACACACCGGCGGCTTCCTCGCGAAAATCGCCAGATATGCCCACATGCCGGCTACTGATGCTGGCAGCCCGATGCTGACAGCCCGATGCTGGCCACTGGTGCTGGCTACTGGTGCTGGCAGCCCGATGCTGGCAGCCCGATGCTGGCAGCCCGATGCTGGCTAGCTGGTGCTGATAATCATGATGCCCATGGTCTCATCTGCCACGACCGCCTCCCCCATCACCCATAATTCATGGCCATGCTCACCTCGATTGTCATCGTACGCGCATTGGAGACAATCGCGACGGACTCTGCCTCGTCGTTCCTGAACTTTTTATGTACAGCTCAATGATCTGTCTCACTTTGTGCTCTTCTCCGAGGCCGGCGCATTGTACGCTGGCGGAGGCTCGGACGGCAGCGGAGGCCCGGGCGGCGGTGGCGGTCCTGGTGGCGCCGATGGAGGCGGTGCACTCGAAGACGCCCCCGATTCACCGGCATTGTCAGACATCGGCTGTCCCACCGACGGCGCATACGGATTGAACGGCTGCGACTGAATCGGCTGCCCATACGGCTGCTGCGGCGGATAGGCGCGCTGCGGCTGGTAGGCACCCTGTGGCGGCGGCGGCGGCGGCGTCGGATCGTAGCTCGTGGCAGGTGCGGCGGAAAGCTCGGCGGCGCCACCCTCCTCCTCATCGTACTCGTACTCGTCCGCATCGGCGACGCTTCTGAGGCAGAGGCAGCAGGCGATGATCGAGCTGCTGATGACCATGACGGCACCGAGAGCGAGGACATACGGCCCGTACGTCTTGGTCGTGCACCTTGACGAGTCATGGAAGAAGCTGTTCTTGTCGCATGGATTGCCCAAGCCACTATTGCCATGCGAGGTCATAATGATGCCACAAATCAGGACGGCGATGGAGGCGCAGAGACCGCATGACACGGCCCGTGCACGTGGTGAGCGGCAGCACACGATATCTTCGATCCTGCTGTCAGAACGGACAACCACCACCGGGGCTTGTCCACCAGCATAACCGAGGCCGCCACCGTAACGCTGCCGATGACGGTTCATGTACAAGCCAGTCCATCGTGCTCGCTTCTCTTGCCGTCTCTTCCGCTTCAGCCGCTTCTTCCTCATGCCGGTAGCTCGATCGACTCGCATCTTGGACACCATGACGAAGTTGCTTCTCCTTTCCCTGCAATAGCGTTCCCGTTCTTTGCTTCCTCCGCTCGCCGCTTTGCCCGAGGTAGAGTTGAGTATGGCTCTTGCTTCTCTGTCCCTCTCTCCAAGCCTCTACAGCCCCTCTGCTGTCTCCGCCCAATTTTTTTGGGAGTTCATTCCGAGAACCCAATAACACGTTGTCGTCAATTGTTGTCGCAAATCAAATGTTATTTGACAACGATCAGCTGGCTACTGGTGCTGGCAGCCCGATGCTGGCAGCCCGATGCTGGCAGTCCGATGCTGGCTACTGGTGCTGGCAGCCCGATGCTGGCAGCCCGATGCTGGCAGCCCGATGCTGGCTAGCTGGTGCTGATAATCATGATGCCCATGGTCTCATCTGCCACGACCGCCTCCCCCATCACCCATAATTCATGGCCATGCTCACCTCGATTGTCATCGTACGCGCATTGGAGACAATCGCGACGGACTCTGCCTCGTCGTTCCTGAACTTTTTATGTACAGCTCAATGATCTGTCTCACTTTGTGCTCTTCTCCGAGGCCGGCGCATTGTACGCTGGCGGAGGCTCGGACGGCAGCGGAGGCCCGGGCGGCGGTGGCGGTCCTGGTGGCGCCGATGGAGGCGGTGCACTCGAAGACGCCCCCGATTCACCGGCATTGTCAGACATCGGCTGTCCCACCGACGGCGCATACGGATTGAACGGCTGCGACTGAATCGGCTGCCCATACGGCTGCTGCGGCGGATAGGCGCGCTGCGGCTGGTAGGCACCCTGTGGCGGCGGCGGCGGCGGCGTCGGATCGTAGCTCGTGGCAGGTGCGGCGGAAAGCTCGGCGGCGCCACCCTCCTCCTCATCGTACTCGTACTCGTCCGCATCGGCGACGCTTCTGAGGCAGAGGCAGCAGGCGATGATCGAGCTGCTGATGACCATGACGGCACCGAGAGCGAGGACATACGGCCCGTACGTCTTGGTCGTGCACCTTGACGAGTCATGGAAGAAGCTGTTCTTGTCGCATGGATTGCCCAAGCCACTATTGCCATGCGAGGTCATAATGATGCCACAAATCAGGACGGCGATGGAGGCGCAGAGACCGCATGACACGGCCCGTGCACGTGGTGAGCGGCAGCACACGATGTCTTCGATCCTGCTGTCAGAACGGACAACCACCACCGGGGCTTGTCCACCAGCATAACCGAGGCCGCCACCGTAATGCTGCCGATGACGGTTCATGTACAAGCCAGTCCATCGTGCTCGCTTCTCTTGCCGTCTCTTCCGCTTCAGCCGTTTCTTCCTCATGCCGGTAGCTCGATCGACTCGCATCTTGGACACCATGACGAAGTTGCTTCTCCTTTCCCTGCAATAGCGTTCCCGTTCTTTGCTTCCTCCGCTCGCCGCTTTGCCCGAGGTAGAGTTGAGTATGGCTCTTGCTTCTCTGTCCCTCTCTCCAAGCCTCTACAGCCCCTCTGCTGTCTCCGCCCAATTTTTTTGGGAGTTCATTCCGAGAACCCAATAACACGTTGTCGTCAATTGTTGTCGCAAATCAAATGTTATTTGACAACGATCAACCATAATGATGTGCGCGGTGCGGTGCGTTGAGGTGGGTTTGTTTCACAGAGTTATGTCGGCTACGACAGCAGGTCGGCGAGCTCATCCTCGGCCTCTTGCATGATAGCGTTGCGGCGGATGGTATCAAACTGGGTGTTGAGCTTGACCTTTTCGCGCTTGAGCGTCGAGTGGCCCATGCCTTCTAGGTCTGCCAGCTCGGCTGCGACGTCGGCGTCGACGTCGTCGTCGACGTCGATGTTGAGCGACGACGAGGAGCCCTTGCGGAGGCTTGTACCGGCCGAGACCGGCGGCGAGCCAGTGAACGAGCCGGCCGGCGACGACGGGTGCGACGACGAGGCGTCGTCGAGAAGTGGCAGGTTCTGCAGCGAGCCCTTGGCCCGGATCCGCGAGAGCCGCTCCTGCGAGTCGGGTGGGAAGAGGGCGGCGTTGACCGACTCCATGGCTTCGGCAAACTCAGCCGCTACCGCCGTCGAGCTCGAGGTCGGCCGCGGCGGGCCGGCGATTTTCCCGGCTGCGGCGGCCTCATTGAGGTCGATGAGCTCGTCGTCGTCCGAGAGCGAGTCGGCCGTCACCGTCGGCGAGACGATTGGCGACTGGCCGGCAGTGCTCACCACCGACGAGACTAGCGGTGATGAGACAACTGGCGCGTACGACGGTCCGTGCACGTCGAGCCCGGCGCTCTCGAGCGCGTCGAGCTCGCGCTGTAGCGAGCTCGACGAGCCCGACATTGACCGCCGCACAACCTCGGCGTCGCGCGACGAGAGCGTCATCGAGTAGCACGAGACTTCGCGCCCGCGCGATGCGCGCGCTTTGGCGCGCTTCTCCTTGAGAATCATTCGGTTCTTGGTCCGCCGGCGCGTCCGGTTGGCAAACGAGTTTTCAAACTCGGGCAGCGGCGGCGGCGCGGGCACGACCTGCGACGCCTCACCGCCGCGGATTGAGCCGACGCGCTCGTCGTCGTCGGCTAGCATACGGTGGACTTCATCGTCGTCAAACGACTCGACGCTCTGCCTCACGCCTACAAAGCCGAGCTCCGGCCCGAGCCCCAGGCCCTCGTACTCACCGGCTGCCAGGTCCTCCCGCCGCAGCATGCCGCAGTTGATGAGCGAGATGGTCGAGTCGCTTCGGTCGCGCCGCCCGAGCTGGATCTTGCCGTATGCCGAGCTGCCTGACGACCCGCGCCGCCGCGTCTCACCGCTGATCACCGCCTGGACCCGAGTGCCCTCGATCGACGTCGACAAGCTGGCCGAGTCAGACGCGCTTGCTTCCACCGTGGCGGCATCGGCTGCGTCGGAGTCGGCGGCTTTCCCGGCCCGGGCCAACCCGCGCTCGTTAGCGTCGAGCGTGTCGTCCATCATGGCAATGTCGTGGAGGAGCGTCTGCTTCTGGGCAGGATCCACGCTCTTGGCCGACGAGAACCGCGAGAGGTCGACCTGCGGGAGCGGAAACTGGAGCATGGTCTTGGAGGCGCCCACCGCGCGGAAGAGCTTGTGCAGGCCCGAGAACGAGAACTCGTTGTCGTCGGCCAGCAGCAGGACCATTGATGAGCTCGGCGACTGGACTGCCCGGGCCAGCGCGTATGCGCCTTGGTCGCCCAGCCCCATTCCGGAGACGTCGATCTCGGTGAGCGACGCCGAAGTCTCAAACGCGTTCAGCAGCGGGACGCAGGTCTCGTGCCCGAGCCGGTACTTGGAAGGTCCGCCCTGGAGTACAAACGACTCGAGCGGGACCATGTCGACCAGGGCCGCCAGCGCGTCGAGTGCGCCCGCATTGTCCTTGACCTTCACCTTGAGGTTGCGCGAGATTGAGAGGTACCGCAGCGACTCGACCGACTGCAGGGCGGTCGCCAGAATGCAGAGCGCAGACGGCGTGAGCGAGGCGTCCTCGAGCGAGAGCGAGTGCAGGTTCCGCGAGGTCATAAAGGCATCGGCGAGCACTGTTGGGCACGAACCGAGCGAGAGCCCGTCGAGCGTCAGAAGCGACGTCTTGCGTGTCGGCTGCGAGACCATGGCGAGGACTAGCTCGGAGAGGCCAGCCACCACCGTCGCCGTCGAGCCCTTGATGAACGACACATCCAGGTCCGTCACAGACGACGACGAGAGCGCAGCAGAGATTGCGTGCGCCGCCTTGGGCTTCACCTCGGTCTGAGAGATGTCGAGCGTGAGGAGCGCCCGCGTCGGGCTAGCCGCAGAGAGGCCCACCGCGAGTGCCTCCAGGTCGACTCCGGCGTTGCCCAGCAGCAGGGTAGAGAGCTTGTCCACGTTCCCACTCTCGAGGTACGAGACCAGCGCCTTGGTCCCGGCCTTGGAAATGCGGTTTTCCGAGAGGTTGAGCGCCTCAAGAGCGAGCGCAGGCGTGTTCTCCAGCCCGCTGAACAGCGCCACAATGGCTTGGTCGAGATGTTGCACATCGAGAGGTCGAGCGACCGCAGCGACTCGCAGGTGAGGAGGCCGGCCACCAGTGCGTGCATGGCCTTGTTGTCGATGTGGTTGTTGGAGAGATTGACCACAGCCAGCGCCGAGCCTGCAAGCGATCCCTCAAGCGCCCGCCCGACCTCCACAAAGCCGGCCCGTGCCCCGAGACTTGACGCCTGCAGCGTGTGCAGTGTCTCGTTGTAGCAAAATACAGGCGCGAGCGTGGTGAGCGCGTCGCGGCGGTCCAGGCCGTCGAGCTCCAATGCGCGGACGTAGCACGAGTGCGCGAGCGCCTTGGACAGCGCCTGCATGTTGAGGCCCTTGGGTGACGAGAGTGTCGAGAGGACAAGGGCAGCACCCTGGGGGCCCTCCATCGACTCGCCATCGGCATCCTCGTCGTCATCCGCCAGCGGGAAGCAGTGGCCGGCGATGAGGTTGGCCATCTTGGCGGCCAGCGCCGACGAGAGGCCCGAGTGTGTGGCGCACGCCGCGAGCGAGACTCGGAACGCCTCCTTGTCCTGGTCCACGCGTCGCTCGCTGGGGTGCGAGTCGAGGTGCTCCCACCGCGCCACAATCTCTCTCACCTTGGGGATCTTGACGTCGTCGAGGACCTCAACCCACAGGCGCGCAGTCCGCGGCCATGACCGGGTCACCTCGTCGGTCGCTACCAGCAGCGCCGTCAGCAGCTCGTCAAGCGTCGCCGTCTCGAGCGTCACGTGGTCGACAGAGAGCGTCGGCGTGCCCATGACAAGCTGGAACGACGACGAAGTCGTGACCGAGGTGATGTCCAGAATGTGCACAAAGCGCTTGACGGAGAAGCCCTTGCGGCCGAGATCCTTGTGTACCGTCAGGTGATGGCCGGTCAGAGTCACCAGCCGCTCCTTCTCCTCATTGCTCTTCTTCTCCATAGCCCAGCCCACATACCGCAGAGTCGACTGTTCCTGCACCGCATACTCTCGCGCGTACACCCTGTCCGACTCTTCCAGCTCGCGGAACGCCATACTATTCAGTTACAGCAAGTTGCCTTCCAGCAGCAGCAGTAGCACCTTGTGTGACCTTGTGATGTCGGGTGACCTTGTGATGTCGGGTGACCTTGTGATGTCGGGTGACCTTGTGATGTCGGGTGACCTTGTGATGTCGGGTGACCTTGTGATGTCGGGTGACCTTGTGATGTCGGGTGACCTTGTGATGTCGGGTGACCTTGTGTCGACCTTTTCAGCAGAAGTAGCTGGTCGTCGGTGACCGTGGCCTTAAGTAGTTACCAGGCACAAGCGGAAGCACTCGTTGGTTGTGGTGGGTGTGGGTGTGGTTGTGGTGGTTGTGGTTGTGGTGGTGGTGGTGGTGGTGGTGGTGGTGGTGGTGGTGGTGAGGAAGGCCCTTTTTGCCTGTCCGCCGTTTGCTCTTTCGCCACCGACCTGTCCTTTCCGTCCACGTCTACGTGAACAGGGGATGCACGACTTGGGTACGTGCGCGTTCGTGTACGTATGTATGTACGCGTGTGTGTATGGGTATACCTCTATGAGCGTATGTATGTATGTGTGTATATTCGTGTGTATGCGTGTGTGTGTGTGTGTGTGTATGCGTGTGTGTATGCGTGTGTGTGTATGCGTGCGTGTGTGTTTGGTGACGGAACCCCCGACCTTGGTACTGGTGGGGGCGGTAACGGAGGGGGGGAGGGGGTGGGGGGGGGGTGGGGTGGTACTGGTACTGGTACTGGTACTGGTGGTGTACGTTCTCCTCCCGGTAAGGGGTTGGGAGGGGGGGGGGGTTGGGAGGGGACGGTAGACGGTAGAGAGGTGTGTGTGCTGGGTCTGCGGTGCGTGGTCATTGTCTCGGTCTCGGTGCTGTTATGGTCGTCTCCCCCCTCCCCCTCCCACCCCCGCTCGCCCCATGTGTGTCGGTCAACACCGCCACCACCGGCACTGCCATCGGTTTGAAATGGAGGCTATCCATTGGCGCCATGTGCGGATTGCAAAAAAAATACATCGCCCAGAAATGGTGAGGCGTCATGGATGGACGATGTTGCGGTTGATGGCAGGGGAGGTTTGCTTGAGATAGTAGGGGATGGTTTCTTGATGATAGGCTGGGGCAGGGGTGGGAGGCGACGACCGGTGGGTGGGGATGAGGAAGTGCTTGGGAGAGGCTATCCGTGGACAGGCCGTGCTGCACAGACGTGCGGGTAGGATGCAGGTGTGGCAGAGCTTGTGACATGTGGTGTGCAGATGCGGGGAATTTCGCTGCGTCTTATCCTCCGCACTGCCGCGTATGCGCATGATCTGCTCCCAGCACGAGGTAGAGAGGGAGATCACCATACAGTCTGATGTGTGTGGTGGTGGTTTGCGGCTGGGGGTGGGATGAAAAGGGTGTGTGGCGTGTGTTGATGTGAAGGGACAACATGATGACTGACCGGAAATATGTGATCAATGGTTTTCGCCGCCCACACCGGATGAGACCGGCTTGGCTCGCCAGACGGTCGCGCGCGCGCGCGCGAGAGAGAGAGTAGGCAGACCAGCGGTGTTAATGCTGTTGTGGTGCTTTTTGCCATCGGAAGCATGTACTGTTCAATCTCCATCGTGATGACCGAGGCCCGACACGACCGTTTGCGCAAGGCAAGATCACCCGCCAGCACCCCCGCCGCATCCTCCTAGCATCCTCACCCTCACCATCCCACATCGCTAGCTCATCCCCATCCCAGGATCGCCAAGATCCCCATGATCCCCATCTCTCCCCCCAAAAGGAACACCTCTTCCAAACAAAAAAAAAGTGATTGCCACCCAGACCACCCGCGCCGAATAGTCCTTTTTACCTGTGAGGTCACTCGGCTCAGGGCGGTCGGCGCGCCGGGCTCGGCTTCTGCGGCAGCACTCAACGCAGAGCGACTGTGTGTGCAGTCAGCAGGAGACAAGGGCAAGAGGAGGAAGCCGACCATGTCCCGACATACTAGCTTTTTCAGCATCCTTATCCTTGCTGGTATGCTCCTTTCACTCGCTTTGCCCACCACCCCTGTGCCCGCCCATGCTAAGGTGAGGTCAGCCTTCGTGACGTCGGCGACTGCCACCTCACCGACAACAGCGGGAGGAGGGGGAGGAGGGGCAGGAGGGGGAGGAGGGGGAGGAGGGGAAGCAACAAGAGCAACACGATCATCGTCATGGTCATCATCATCATCATCATCATCATCTCCATCATCATCATCATCATCATCATCATCATCATCATCACCCCGATCATCATCATCGACCATCCCCACCGCCACCGCCTCGACCATCCCCACCGCCACCGCCACCTCTTCTACCGCCACCTCTGCTACCGCCACCTCTTCAGCCTCCAATCCCATCCAGGCATCGCCTGCTGCTGCCTCGGCGACCGATGTCCAGCCGCTCATCATCGTGGCCACGGTAGATGGGGCAGTCTACGGCTTGGCTGCTGGCGATGGCTCGGTGGTCTTCTCCTTTGACACCGGCTCGCCCTTTGCTGCCTCTATGTTCACCGCAGGCATGATGGGCTCGATGGCGGCTGCTTCCTCGGCTTCGGGCCCGTCGCCCTCGTCGTCGTCGTCGTCGTCCCCGCCGCCTTCGCCATCCCCCTCTCTCCCGCACACTCTCCTGCCGGGTCTTGACGGCGCCTCGCTGTTCAGCTATACCCACGGCACGGGCCTCTCCAAGCTTCCCTTTGCCGCTCCTCGCTTGGTCCAGGAGACGCCGTTTGTCGACAGCAACGACCTCATGTATCTTGGCTCGCGAGCGGCCACGATCTACGCGGTCGATCTCGAGACGCTAGCTGTCTCGCGGGTCGGCAGTGCTGCCTCTGCGGCAGGCACGAGCGCCGCCGACTCTGGCGCCCGCAGCCTGTTTGTGGCTGTCGAGACAATGACCATCTCGGTCGTCGACGCCCACACCGGCCTGCCCTACTCGAACGTCTCGCTCGGAACCATCTCGCCGAGCCTCGACCTCGCGTCGCTGGCTTCGCTCGGTGGGGCGGGAGCGGGAGCGGGAGTGGGCGAGGAGGAACCGACCTTCCGCCGCTGACGCTCGACGCGCTCCTCGCCGACGCCACGCGTCCGATCATCTACACCGACCTCTCGGGCCTCCTGCACTGCATCGACCGGAGCACCGGGTACGTGCTGTGGTCTGTCGAGCTCCCGGCCACGGTTGTCTCGTCGTTCTACCTCTCGCCGGCCGTCGGCGCCGTCCTCCGGCTCACGCCGCTCAACAAGCTCGGCGTCCACTGCCTCCGCGACCAGTGCTACACCGGCTCGTTTGCGCTTGTCTCGCCGTCAACCGCCACCGGCACGACACCGTCGTCGCACCTAGTTGCGCCGGCCGACACCTCAGGTCTGGTCTTGGTGGGCGGCTCGCCGGCATCGGGCCTTTGGGCCGACGACAACGGCGCCTTTGTCCGCTTTGCCGATGGCGACGGGGCTGGCAGCATCGACACCGGCTCGCTCTTTGACGACTTGAACGGCGAGCCGAGTCCGCCACACAGCGGCAGCGGCGGCGGCCTAGTGCCGTACTCGCCCGACGGCTTCCACTGCGCACCCGACTCTCCAAGCTTCCCGGGCTGCCTCACCGGCGCATGGCAGACCGCGCCGTCGTCGCCCGCCACTTCTGCAGGCGAGCTTGGACCGGGCTTTCCCTCTCTGCCCGGCGAGGGTGACAACGCGATGCCGTACAACGCCACGGCCGCTGACCTCGTCCTTGCGCTCGTCCGCAAGGCTCCGACCCAGCTCGCGGTTGCAGCCGCCGCGCTGCTTCTGCTGCTTGTTGTGCTCGCGGCGCGCACGGTTCAGAACCGCTCGCTGCCGCTCCAGCCCCAGCCCGACACCCTCGCGCCACTGACCGCTACAGACTATACCGACGAGCCCGACTCGGCGTCGTCAATGGGCTCGTCGCTCCTGGCTTCCATCTACGCGCGGACCAACTCGAACAACTCGTCAGGTGCGGCCGGAAGCTCAGTGCCGAGCGCGGTTGTTGACGCCTGGAACGGGCAGGACGAGTTGGTACAAGTCGGCGGAAGCGAGGCAACAACCTGGCGCATCGGCGACATCACTTTTGACACCGATGCCGTTCTCGGCAAGGGCTCGCACGGTACAGTCGTCTTCCGCGGCGACATCGGCGGGCGGCAAGTGGCGGTCAAGCGCATGCTCGCCGAATTCTACGAGGTTGCCTCAAAGGAGGTCGGTCTGCTCATGGCCTCGGACCTCCATCCCAACGTCGTCTCGTACTATGGGCGCAAGATGGATGCCCAGTTTGTGTACATTGCCCTCGAGGAGTGCGCGTGCTCGCTGGCGTCGGCCATGACCTCTGGCATGATTTCCGACATGCCGCTCGAGCTTAAGCGCAAGCTGCTCTTCGAGGCCGCCTCGGGCGTTGCCTTTCTCCACTCGCTTGGCATTGTCCACCGCGACGTCAAGCCGCAGAACATCCTCCTGGCCAAGGACTGGACGGCCAAGGTCGCCGACTTTGGCCTCGGCGCTGAGCTCGATCGCGGTCGCTCGTCTTTTGACACCCACACCGCGGGCACGCTCGGCTGGCTTGCACCCGAGGCGCTCGCCGGCGAGCGCTGCACCCGCGCCGTCGACGTCTTTGGTCTCGGCTGTGTCGCCTACTACGTCCTCACAAACGGCGACCACCCGTTTGGCTCGCGCTACGAGCGCGACTGGGCCATCCTCAATGCCGCGCCCTCGCTCGACGCCGTCGCTTCAGACCCAGCCCGCGGCGGCCATGAGGCCGTCGCCCTCGTCTCACGCATGGTCGCCCGCTCTCGTGACGCCCGCATCACCGCCGCCCAGGCGCTCGCCTCGCCGTTTTTCTGGAATACCCGCAAACGCCTCGACTTTCTCATGGAGGCCTCGGACAGGGTCGAGATCGACTACCAGGACCATGGCGCTGCCGGTCGTGTTGTCCGCCTTCTCGAGGCCCGCGCCGCCGACGTCTTTGACCTCGACCTCGTTGTCCGCCCGCCGCGCCCGGCAGATAGCAGCGACCGCCCACGCTCGCTCTTCACGCCTGCCACACCCTCGCGCGCCGACCGAAGCAGCTCCTGGCGTACTCGCGATGCCGGCCCGCCGGGCTTTGCGCCCTCACACTCGCCCCACTCGTCGTCGTCGCCCAAGAAGAAAACGCCGTCGCCGGCCGCACCGCGCCGCGGCTGGATGGCCGTCCTCGCTCCCGAGCTCATCATCAACCTCGGCAAGTACCGCAAGTACGACCCGCGCTCGCTCCGCGACCTTCTCCGGGTCATGCGCAACAAGGGCCGCCACTACCGCGACCTCCCGCCCGAGCTCAAGGCCGTACTCGGCGACTATCCCGACGGCTACTACGCCTACTTCCTCCGCAAGTTTCCGCGCCTCCTTGTCGTCGTGTGGGAGGTCGTCGTCGAGGAATTTGGCGTCGACGCCGATCCGGCATTCGACCAGTACGTGGCCAAGCCACCGCCGCCGGCGAGCTCCTCACCCGCACCTGCTCCCCTCCCTGTCTCCCGGAGCAATGCTACGCCTTCGGCGCCGTAAACCCCGCGCCTCCTCCTCTTGCGACAACATTTACGCTGCTACTCCATCGACATTGTCGACGATGAGCTAAACGGCGACGATGACCGCGAGTGCAGTCCTTCATCACCGCACACTTGCGCCTCAAGTCCTTCCCCGGTGTCTACCATGTCCAGCGTCGGTGCTAGCGATCGCGCCGCCCGCGGCGGCTGAGCTGAGAAGATCGACGGCGGCAGCTGAGGGACCGGCGGCGGTGCTGAGGTCGCCACCGCCGACACCGGCGGTAGCGTAGGCACCGGCGGCGGCTGCGCCAGCGACGCCTCGTCGTCGTCGGATGACGAGAACGAGTCCGGCGCCAGCGGCGGCGCTGTTGCCGGAGACGGCAGCGACGGCGGCGGCGGCGGCGGGAGTGGTGGCGGTGGCGGCGAGCGAGTGCCAGGCCCAGCGTGAGCTCCAGCCCCACCCCCGTCCTCATCAGCATCAACACCATCACCGTCACCGCGTTCCCACCACAACGCCGATGAGCCGGCGGACCGGATGCCGCCGGGCGATGAGGCCGCCGAGGCGAGCACCGCGGCTGCCGGCGATCGCGAGCCGGACGAGGCCAGCGTCTCGACGTCATCGAACAGCAGCGGATGCGCGTCTTGCTGGGCCTGGACTTGCGGCGGCTGGCGGGCAAGCGCGCGCGAGCGGAGGGTGGCGCGCAGTTGGGCAGCCTCGCTCTCGAGGGCGGTGATGTACCGGGCCTGGTCCGCCGCAAGCAGCGCGTACGTAGCCGGCCGGACAAAAACGCGAGCTGGAGCTCGTCAGTGCCCGCAGCGACAAAGCCCTCGGCCTCGAGGGCGTCGAGACGGAAGAACTTGTTGTAGCCCCAGCACTCGCCGGCCTCAAACTCCGAGGTATACTCGCGGACCACCGGCGGGCGGGACGGCGCGGTGGAATGGCGCATCTCCACCCGGTACTCATACCGCGCCGAGCCAACGAGGCCGCCGGCCATCTCCAGAAAGACCGAGAGGTGCGTTCCGCGGGCGATGCCGTTGCCGTTTGGGTAGACCTTGAGCCGCCACGCGAGGCCGTGGGTCACCAGCGGCTGCGAGAACACCACGTCCTCGGCCGCGCGGAGCGCCGAGAACGACGCCAGCACAAAGTCGCCCGACGCATACTCGGGCACAATCTCAGAGGCAAAGACCGGCGGGACGTAGACGTGCAGCGCCGAGCTCCCGGCCTCACTCTCGGCCGCGTCCTCGCTGTCGTCGACTGCCGCTACCAGCGACGGCCGCTGGCACATCTCCCGCAGCAGACCCAGCAGCTCGTCGGTCTTGGCAATGAGCCGCGACCGCGGCGCGGCACTCAGCTGGCGCTCCAGCTCACCGAGGACCGATGAAATGAGCTCGAGTTCCTCAGCCATCGAGCCTTTTTGCGCAAGCAGCGCCAGAAGCTTGGTCTTGAGCTCGGCCTCCAGCCGGGCGTACATTTGGTCGACCGCGTCGCGGATCTCCAGCATCCGCTCTTCCTTGGCCCTCGTCACCTCCTCGATGTTCTCGTCGATGCCTGCAATCGCCGCCCGCAGCCGCTCCAGCCGCTCCGACAGCGCGTTGGTCTCTACCCGGATTCGCGACGTGTGGATGGCATACACCGCATCAAGCTTGTTGAACGCGTGCCCGGTGTGCGTCGAGCCAAACATGGCACAGTCGGAGCAGATCGCCACCCCGCACGTCTCGCAGTAGTATCCTAGCTCTTGATCGGGGTGGGCTGGGCACGGCTCGGCAACCCGCCCGCCACCGACTACCCCGCGGCGCCCGCCTGGCGACCGCGACCCGCCACCACGCGGGGGCGACGCCAGCAGGCCCATCGCCGCAGAGGCAGAGCTCGACGCTGTCGCCAGGTACGCCTTGTCCAGCTCGTCGGTCAGATCGTTCATGAACCGGCAGGTCACAAGCTCGTCCAGCTGCAGCGGCGCCCGGCAGTGCGGACACGTAGCACGCTGCACCAGCCACGTCGACATGCACGCGCGACAGCCCATTTTGGAGCACGCCGGGCACATGACCGCGCCCTCGACCCGCGCCATGCAGATGAAGCACCGGAAGAGCTCCTCGATGTTCGACAGTACCGATAGCGCCGCTGCATCGCCGCCCGCCATCGCCTGCCACCGCTCGCTGCCCCGCTCGACCTCATCCAGCGCGGTGAGCCCACCCGGGACAAGTCCACCTCCCGACGAGCTTGCTGCTGTGCTTCCAGCGGCTGCAACCGGACTACGACCCCCATCGCTATGCCCGTGACCAAGCCTGTACCCGTGACCGAGTATGGGATCATGCACATGGTGGCGGGCACGGTCGTCATCGTGATCGCGGCCTTGTCCGCCTCCGCGGCCGTGTCCGACTCGGTCCGCGCCTCCGCCTCCCACCCCCGCCACAGCCTCTGCCGCCGCTACGGCCCTCTGCAGCCGTCCACGAACCCCACCAGCGGCGACCTCCGCCCCCGCCGCCACCCCCACCGCGCGTTGCTCTCCACCAGCTCCACCATGACCGACACCGACCCGAGCTCTGTCACCATGACCGACTCGCCTTCCTCCGTCCGTCCCCACCCCCATACCTGTAGTCATGCCCATGTCCATACCCATGCCTGTCGTCATGCCTGTGGCCATGCCTGTGGCCATGCCCTCCCCCATGCCCTCTCGGTCTCCTTCCCGACTGTTCCTTCCACCACCACCACCACCACCACCACCACCACCACCATCATCACCACCACCGCTCCCGCCACCGCTCCTGCCTCGGACACGACCACTTCGAGAATGCTCCATGCTGAACACGCCACCAGCAGCTAGCTGATCGTCAACCTCCTCCGTTCTTCCAGCAGCTGTCAAGGATCCTCTCCAACCCTCAGCCTCCTACTCAGTCTCTTCCTCGAGTCAACTGTCTCCAACGCTCCGTCAGAGTCGTCGATGATCATGGTCGTGGTCATCATTGCCGTTGTGGTCGTTCTTGTGGTCTACAGGTTGTTCGCAACGGTGAGTGACACGAGTACGGTATTGGCAGGTAAGAGCTATCTGTCACAAGCTCCAATGGCCATCCTCCCCACTACCGTGCAACCACTCTACTGCCAGCGTCTGAATGTAGGGATGTGTGTGTGTGTGTGTGTGTGTGTGTGTGTGTGTGTGTGTGTGTGTGTGTGTGTGTGTGTGTGTGTGTGTGTTTGTAGGTAGACATAGCGGCGCGTACGAGAGTGAGTGCAGTGCGTTTGAGAGCGAGAGTGTGTGTAGCGTATGCGGGAATGTGTGGTTTAGTAAAATTTTCTCCAACCACCCTCGAACCAATTAACCACTTACATCTGCGGGCCAAGGTCTTCACATTCCTCCGGCGTGTCCCCACGTGAGAAAAAACCCCACACAGATTGAGTGGACACACGTTTGCGGAGACTGGCCTCCCCCTCCCGCTCACCCGCACTACTCTCCGTTGCCCCCTCCCCTCCCCCTCCCCCTCCCCACCCCCATCCGCCCCCATCACGGTAGCATCCACCGTGACTTGTCGGCCAGGTAGTCCCCCTCCCCCCAGTACCAAAAGTTGCAGCAAACGCAATTGACTTTGGCAGCACGCGTCTGCAAGCGCTCCACCACTCGGCACACGGTCTGGACGGCGGGGGGAGCCATGACCACGGCCAGTGAGCGGAACAAGAGACGGAGATGTACCATTTCCAGCGTATGGAGATTTAAGACCAGTTGCTACAGATCAGCCAAGTTTCGTGGCCATAGAGTTTCTCTAGCTCTCGTAGGCATGGCTGTCGTTCTCGCCTTCCTCTGCCAGGCGCCAATGGCGGAGGCTAGCTGCGTGTCGCCTTTGCTCGCACCCGCACCCGCATGGCCACTTGCCGGCGACGCCTCGTTCGGCCCATCGCCACTCGCGGTCATGCCTGACATACCGGCATGTCTTCCAGAGCGAGAGGCTATTGCTGTGGTGGCCACTACCAGCGCAGACGGCGTGACGGGCGTGCGGCTGGTTGATATCAACAACGACGGCGCGCTCGACGTCATCTCCTACGAGGAGCTCGACGACTCCATCTCGCTCTTCCTCAACCAGGGCATGGGTGCTGGCCTCGCTCCGAGGGCTGTCATTGGTCCGCCCTCGCCGCCTATCGAGTACGATCGCCCGCGGAGTGTGGCCTTTGGCGACATTGACGGTGACTCGCTCGTCGACATGGCCTCGGCGAGCCAGGTTGATGACGCCGTCGGCTGGACCCGCAATCTCGGGAGCGGATTGTTTGGCTCGCGGAATGTGGTCTCGCCTGCGGCTGACGGCGCGTCGGGCGTGGCGCTCGCGGATTTGGATGGCGATGGAGATCTCGACCTCGCCGCCTGCTCCGCCAACGACGACTCTGTCCGCTGGTGGAGGAACGTCGATGGGAAGGGGAACTTTGTCTTTGTCCAGCTTGTCTCGGCGGCCACCGACGGCGCCGCTGACATAGCCGCGGTGGATGTGAATGCTGATGGCGACGTGGACCTTGTTGTTGTCTCGTCGAACGACAACAAGCTAGCCTGGTTCGCTAACAACGGCTCGTACTTTGGCACCGAGCGCATCATCTCGGCCACGCTCGCCAAACCGGTTGCCCTCGCGGTTGGCGACATGAACGGCGACGGCGTGTTGGACCTTGTTGTTGCGTTTGAGAGCGCCAACACCGTCGCCTGGTTTGCCAACTCCCACCCGGCACCAGGCTCCTTCTCGTCGCCGCTCCCGATCACTACCTCGGCGCTCTCGGTCCGTGGCGTCGCTGTCGGCGATCTCGACACCGACGGCGACCTTGACGTCGCCCTCGCTTCGGACGGCGACCAGACCGTGGCCTGGTTTGCCAACGCCGATGGTCGTGGTACCTTTGCGACCTCGCCGCGGGTGGTCACCACTGCATACGCTGGCCCGCGCGACGTCGCCATTGGCGACATTGATGGTGACGGTAAGGCCGACCTCGCCGCCGTCTTCCGCACGGCAGATACCGTTGCCTGGTTTCCACACGCCGTCGTACCCGGCTCGTTTGCCGCTGGTCCGACATCCATCGCCACTGCTCTTGACGGCGTCGGCGCCGTCGTCCTAGGCGACCTCGATGCTGACGGCGACCTCGACCTTGTCACCGCCTCGCCGGGCGAGCTGGGTGTCGCCTGGCGTGCCAACATCGATGGCGACGCAGTTGCTTGGTCCTCGCCGCGTTCCGTCGCACCGTCGCCTCCGGGCACGCATGCACTCGCTCTGGCTGACCTCGACGCCGATGGTGACCTAGATTTGGTTCTCGGCTCATCAGAGCCCGGGGCGGCCGCGCTCGGCTACGCGCTCAACGTCGATGGCGTGGGCGGCTTTGCGCCTGTTGTCGCTCTTGCTTGGAGCGCCAACGCCACTGGTGGCCTCGCGCTCGCCGACTACGATCTCGACGGCGATGTTGACATTGCCGTCTTTGACTCGTCGGGCACCACGCTTGTTGTCTTGCTCAACCGCGGAGGCGACGATGGCTTTGGACCAGAGCTTGCTGTTGATACGACCGGCTCGGACATTGCCGCACTCGTCGCCGCAGACCTCAACAATGACGCGCTGCCGGACCTTGTCGCTGCCCACGCTGGTGCAGGTGCGGTGTTGTGGTACGCGGCAAGCAACGGAGCCGGCCTCGCGTTTGTCGCTGCGGCCGTGGTAGCCAACACCGACGTCGCTGGTGCTTCTGCGCTTGCGATCGGAGACGTAGACGGCAACGGCGCGCTTGACGTGATTGTCGGCGCGACAACCGACACCACCATTGCTTGGTACGCCAACGCTGGCAACGGGGCGTTTGCGCTTGGCGCCACCGTCGACGCTGGCGCCAGCGACGTCGCGGTCCTTGCCACTGCCGACCTCGACGCCGACGGCGAGCTCGACATTGTGGCTGGACGTGGCGGCGTTGTCAACACCATGGCCATGTACGCCAACACCGGCAACGGTACGAGTTTTGCGGCGGCATCGGTGCTGGTCGCCGGCGTGACGCAGCCGACTGCCGTGTTGGTCGCTGACATCGACGGTGACGGCGACAGAGACCTTGTGTATACCTCTGCCGGCGCCGACCTTGTTGCCTGGCTACCACAGACGTCGCGAACTGCCTTTGCCGACTATCTCCCGCAGCAGCACGGGCTCGCGCGAGACGATCCGGCGTGCGCTGTGACATCGAGCTTTGCCTGCGTCACCGCGTCGCTCGGGCGACTCTCGCGCTGCGTCCGCGACACACTGGTCCTACCTACTGGCAGCTACGGGTGCCGGCGCGACGCGCACGCGCTCGTTACCCGTCCGATAGCGGTGGCATCGGCCGACTGCGCGGCACCGGCGGTGTTCAACTGCACGGCTCGTGGAGGTGGGGTGCTCTTCCGCGCGCTAGCGCATCCTTCAGCTGGTGTGCCGACCGTGGGCGATCTCGAGCTGCAGGGCGTGAGCTTGGTGCGACTCGGAACCGCACAGGTCTCGCCCTTTGGCGCACCAGGCCTGCGTGCCGAGGGCGCCGGCGCGCGGCTTGCTCTGGTGAACGCCTCTGTCAGTGACGCAACGTCGACGGTGCGACCGGGAGTCTTCTTCTTTGACGAGGGCATCGGTGGCGCAGTGCTTGTCGATGACGGCGCGACCTTTGTCTCGCACCGGACGCTCTGGGCGAGGTGCACGTCGTCGCGGTTCGGCGGCGCGGTGGCGCTTCGCCGGGCCGGAACGACGGCGGTCGTCTCCGACTCGGTCTTTACCAGCTGCGCGAGCGACGGGTCCGGTGGTGCGCTGGCGGTGCTGGCCGGCGTGGCGGTGTCTGCGAACAACACGCGGTTTGTGGGCAACAGCGCGGGCGTAGGCGGTGGCGCAGTGGCCTTGCTGGAGATCGAGGCGACGCTTGTTGGGCGTGGCCTCGAGTTTGACGGAAACGTGGCTGCCGGTGGGCTCGAGGCCGGCGGTGGCGGCGGCGCGGTGGCTGTGGTCGGCTCGCGGACGGTGCTTGTGCTGGAGAGCGGATCGCGGGTTGTGAACAACACAGCGAGTCGCGGATGCGGCGGTGGCGTGCTTGTCCGTAGCTCGGCGTCGCAGGCGCGGGTCTCGCTGCTGGCAACCGCGCTGGTGGGCAATGCAGCGGGCGTGGCTGGCGGAGCGGTAGCGACCCGCGCCGCGCCGCAGTCGGGCGCTAGCGTGGTGCTGGGCACCGGCAGCTCTGTGGCTCGCTCGCGGGCGACGTTTGGCGGCGCGCTTGCAGCTGTGAGCTCGGCGTATCCGTGGCCGAGCTCGTCGTCGCTCGCGAGTGTGGCACGCGGCTTGGCGACGAGCGCAGTTCCGAGCATTGCGTCGATTGCGTTGGTTGACGGCGTAGAGGTCGGCGAGGCAGAAGCACCCTTTGGCAGTCTTGTGTTTGTCTGCGACGCGGTGATTGAGCTCTCCGGGAGCGTGTTGGCGCCTCGCTCACCTAGTTCCGGCGGCAGCGCGTTGGCTTGCGCGGCGAGCGGGGTCAACGCGCCAGCGCCACCCAGCGGCTGGCTTGTCGAGTCCGGTATCGGAGCGAGCTTGCTGCGCGTGACGCCGCCGACGGCGCTTGTCCCAGATCCGGGTACATTTCCACCAGCGACGGTCTCTGGCTCCCTGTTGGGGGCCGGAAGCATGGGCGTGTTTGACAGCTATGGCCAGCGAGTCCGCGACCAGACGCTGGTACTGTTCGCGACGTCAGCAACAGCTGGAGTCGAGGCGAACGGTCTGGAGACTGGGACCGCCGTCAGCAGCGTGACCGGGAGCGGGGGCCTCGGCGTGCTGCGACTGAGCGCACTGGCGGAGACAATCGGGGACGCACGCGGCGGGCTGCCGAGTGCGATCCAAGTACGACTCAGCGGAGCGGTCGGTAGTGAGCCGCCGACAGCGGCAGTGACGGTCAACGTCACGCTCTGCCCGATCGGGTTTGGGGCGGTGTCTTCACCCGGGGCGGTACTCGAGTGCGGCGCGTGTTCGGACGGGTCGGCGTCGGCGACTGTGTCTGCCGAGCCGTGCGTGGCTGTTCCACCGTGCCCAGCAAACACGTTGCGGCTGGCCACGACCAACGCCACGGTGGTGGCGCCGTGTCTATGTAAGGAGCGGTTCTGGAGCCCATCGAAACAGGCTGATGTGGAGTGCATAGCGTGCCCGCGTGGCGGGCTGTGCGATGGTGGGCTGGCGGCGCCTCGGGCTGCGCCCGGGTTCTTCCCCGACGCCACGGATCCGGCGCTCTTTGTCTCGTGCCCGCGGGCAGAGGCGTGTTTGGGTGACGGGCTGTGTGCATCGGGTTACCGTGCGCGGCTGTGTGCCGAGTGCGAGTCGGACTACTTTAAGCTGTCTGGCTCGTGTCGGCGGTGTCAGCCTGAGCGCAACGTGGCAATTGTGTTGCTTCTCCTTGCGGGTGTGCTGATGGTGACGACGGTCCTGCTGGGGTTCAATCTCGCCGAGAGTTTGCGGTACAAGTTTGCAGCGGCGATGATCGGGCTCAATGCGCTGCAGATTTCTGCCATCTACGGCTCGCTCGACTTTGACTGGGGTGAGCTGGCGACGCTGTACTTTGACATTGCGTCTGCGGTGAACCTCAACGTAGAGCTGACGAGTCCCGAGTGCGCGTCGGCGTCGGGCACCGACGTCTGGGTTCTCAAGTGGGTGCTCACACTCCTGCTGCCTCTCTTTGCGGCGATCGTGCTTGTGCCGGTCTGTGGCGTGTTTGCCGGGCTCATTGTCGGCAACGTGTGGTGGCTTGGGAAGAAGAATCTGGACCAGCTGCGCGGAGCGGCCGGGCGGACGCTCTTCCAGATGATTGTCTTGCTGTACTTGCCGCTGACAAGCGCGTCGCTGGCGCCGTTTGGCTGCCGCAAGGAGGAGACCGGGCGGTGGGTGCTCGACGCGGATCCAGTGCGGAGCTGCTACAACGAGGCGTGGTGGGGCGGGTTGTTTGTGCCAGGTGTGTTGGCGACGGCTGTGTACGCGGTGGGGCTACCTGCGGGCGTGGCGATTCTGCTCTCGCGGCGGCGGGCGGCGCTCGATCCGATCTCCTTTGTCCTCCGCTTCGGCTTTCTTGTGGGGCGGTTTGCCGACGAGGCGTGGTGGTTTGAGGTGGCGATCATGCTCCGCAAGCTCGGTGTTGTGGTCTGCATGACAGCCTTTTTCTCGAGCGAGGGCAAAGCGTCTGCGGCGGTGCTTGTGCTTGTCGGCTCACTCGGGCAGCTGGTGTATCTGCGGCCGTACCGGTCGACGCTGCACAACCGGTTGGCGGTGGTTGTTCTCGCTGCGGCATCGCTCATTCTGTACACCGGCATGCTCGACGCGCGGACGCTGCGGATGATAGGAGTGACGATCGGGGTCGTCACCATTGTTGCGGCAATTGTAGTCGGCAACGGGCTCGACCTCTACCTCATGGCGCGGCGCGAGAAGGAGATTGAGGAGGATGAGTACTTCAGCTCGGGAACGTTTCACATGCACGACGGCGGCGAAGTTGAGCTTGGTGGGCTCGGGATGGTGCATTCGATCTCGGGCACCGAGCTCCATAACATGCAGGCGTCGAGCGTGGACATTGGGTCGACGCTCTCGACCGCCCCGCTCGTCGAGTCGGCTGCGCCTGCTGCGGCCGGGATGTTTGACTCGCCGCCGACCGAGCCCGAGCCGCCTCCGGCCCTGCTCTCGTTCAGGCTGCCGCCGCCGATGCCGCATTCGGTGACGTCTTTGGCGCAGCAGTTTGACTCGGTGGATGCAAACAGGTCAAACATCGCCACCGGCGGCTCAGTCTCGTCGACGCCGACGGCCACCGTGGCGATGGCGACCCACGGCGCGCTCGGAACCATCGATCTCGAGTCTTGCGAGTCGGAGACGGCGCCGCTGTACTCGGTCACTGCTGGCGTGACCCACGCCGAGCTGTCGGATGCCGGCGAGCTGTGCCGACCGCTCGACACGGGACCTACTGCATTGGCGTCTGCCACCTCGTCAGGCGACTCGTCGTCATCGGGCGCCGACACGCAGGCGTCGACAACATGCGCGGCGACAACGTGCGGCTCGGTGACTGCGCCGTTTGCGTCGATGAATGACCGTCCACATGTGGCCAGCACGACCGCCAGCACGACCGCCAGCACGACCGCGGGCACCACCACCAGCTCTTCCACCGCCGACCGCCGGCGAGCCGGAACCACGTCAACAGTATGCAGCACGAACTCGAGCTCAAGCTCGAGCGCAAGCGCAACCACAAGCACATCGTGACGGCGAGGACCTTTGGGGCATGGCCAACGATTAATGGGGGAATGACATGGCCAACGATTAATGGGGGAATGACATGGCCAACGATTAATGGGGGAATGACATGGCCAACGATTGGCCAACGATAAATGGGGGAATGGCCAACGATAAATGGGGGCATGGCCAACGATTAATGGGGGAATGGCCAACGATTAATGGGGGAATGACATGGCCAACGATTAATGGGGGAATGACATGGCCAACGATTATTGGGGGCATGACCAGGAGCAAAGGGGGAGGGGGGAGGAGAGCGTGTTGGTGGTGACGGGCACGGGCACGGGTGCACGCACCTGACCCACCCATTAACCCCCCCCCCCCCCCTCTCCTTCCCCCTCCTTCCCTTCCCGTGTTCGTTCTGTGTGTGCAAGTGTGTGGCCACCATGAGCGAGACCGGCAGCAGCAGCAGCAGCAGCAGCAGCCGCAACGACGGCAGCAATGGCGATTTGTGCAACGGTGGCAACATGCGCAGTGATGGCAATGGTGGGGCCAGAGGTGGTAATGCTGGTGGTGGCGACTCGTGGGAGTCGACCAACTCGGATGATTCGGGCGCAGGCACTGCTGTCGAGGTTGATGATAGTGATGATGATGGCCGGAGAGGCAGTGTGGTGGACGTGGAGACGATCGGTGGGAGCAACCATGGCGGTGGCTCGGCTCCTGCGAGGCGGTTTACCGAGACTGGGACGCTGGTACTGGACGATGTGGATACCTCTTCGCGGCGGAAGAGAGCGAGGAGGAAGGGCCGGGCCAAGACGTATGACGCAGGCGTGCCGTCGCCCAAGGCCGAGACGGCGACTGCGTCGTCGGGGCTGGGCTTTGGGCTTGGCACCAGCGACGCGAATCGGAGCGGATGGACCGAGTCTGGTACGCTTGTGGCCGCACGGTCGACGCTGGGCGAACCGCCTCGGGTCCGTGACGAGCAGGCTGCCATCGACGCACTGATGGCGCTGGACAAGGTCCAGCTCGCCGCCCGGGTGGTGGCGGCCGAGGCTCGGCTGAGCGAGGTACTCATTCTAGTGGACAACATGCGGGCGGAAATGCTGGCGCGGCAGGGAATCGACGCCGAGGACGCGCGGGCTCACACGGCGGGCGCGCCGCTTGCGCGAGCCAAGACCGACGTGGCGCTGATGGGCAGCGACGAGACAGGAAGCCCCGAGCGCAGCGGGAGCTCCGCGCCTGTAACTCCGCGGAGCCCGACGTCGCCACAGGCGGCGACCGACGGCTTGCTTCCGGCATCTGCAGCTGCTGCAGACTCGACGTACGCGTCGTGGCTACAGAAGCGCGACCCGATCACCGGGCTCTGGTCACGGTTCTACGTTGTGTTCCACGGAGAGGAGCGAACGCTCTCGTACTATGCGCACGAGAAGGCGCCGGTCCGGCTGGGGCGGTTTGTCTTTCAGGAGCTTCCGCTCAAGGTGGTGTACGGGGCCGATGTGCTTGGCGAGCTCGACGAGGACATCCCGTATTGCTTTGGGCTCTCGTGCAACTCGCGCCTCTTGCATGTGTTCTCGGCGGTGACCGGGGTGGATTTGCTCAACTGGTGCGCGGCGCTGGGCCAGGTGTGCGCCGGGGTAGAGGCGAACGCAGTGGCGTTGCCGGGCACGGAAGCCGACACCGAGGCTGCGCTGAACGCGTTGGTGGCGTCTGTGTTCTTTCTCCGCCGGCGGGCGCAGTACCTGTCGACTGTGGCGCGCAAAGGCAAGCTGATGTGGGGTCAACAGCTGGCGGTGTTGTACAACTTTCGGTTGTACTTTTTCGAGAGCGACGAGGACATCAAGCCGATTGAGTCGGTGTGTATTGTCGGCTACTCGGTCAGGCCGCTCACTTCGGAACGAGCGCGGCCGAACTCGTTCCGCATCTCGCACCCGGGCCTTCCCTCGTATACACTCGCCGTTGACTCGCGGCGGAAGCTCGCCACCTGGGTCGGCGCCCTCACTTCTGCTGCCAATCTCCAGCGGCAGTGGTTCATTGAGGGCAACGAGGAGTTTGACCGGCGAGCGGCGCCGGCAACGTCCCAGGTCCATGTCTCGATCAAGCTCGACAAGGAGGTCATCCGCAAGCCGTCGCGGCCGCGGGCGGCGACTGATGCGCAGGCGGTGGCGGCGGCAGCGGCAGCCGACGGCCCGCTGCCCGACGATGGGCAGGACGGCGGCGGGGCCGGTACCAGCAGCGATGTGGCCGATGGCCTTGCCAACGTCCGCTCGCGGCTCACCCGCGGGAGTTCGATCTCGGAGCGGCGCAAGCGGCTGATCCGGAGACGGTCGGCGGTCTCGCGGGCGCTTTCCATCGCCGAGCTCAAGGACCGCATGAGCTCCAAGCTGCTGGCGGCATACAAGTTCCGCTCGTCGCTCTCCATCGACGATGTCGTCAACATGCTCCGCGAGTTCCACGGCCTCCCGCTGCTGCGCGACGAGCGCAAGACCGGATTCGAGACGCCGTCGGACGACGAGTACGAGTATGCCACTGCGTCCGATGACGACAGCTCGGGCGATTCCGATAACGGGACCATGGTGCTCACCTCGACGCCGCGCTCGCCGGCATGGTCGCCTCTGTCGAGTCCCGCGGCGGCCAGCACGGGCTCTGGCGGCAAGAGCAGCGACGGCGATGCGTAAACAGGAGGAGCGAGACTCATCGCATGATGTGTTATGTGGTGGTGGTGACCGCTGTGGTACCTTCAGGCGAGACCAGGGTGTGCGCGGCGAGGGCGGCAAGCTTCTTCTGCTGCCCGAGGATCTGGCTGTAGGTGGCGACAAGGAGGTTACGGCTCTGCTCCTGCGCGTTGAGCAGCTCGTCCTCGGTCTCTTTGACCATCCTGAGCAGGACCATCTCCTCGACGGACATGCTCGGCGCATCAAGCAGCATCCGTTTGCGCTTCTCAGTCCGGCTTGTGTACTCGTCGTCATCGGCATCACCGCTGCTATCGTTGTCATTGTCATTGTCGTCGCGTCGCCGCTTTGGCCGCGGTGTCGCATCAGGCGACGTTGATGAGCGCTGCTGCCGCCGCTTTGGCTGCGGCGTCACCGCCGTCGCCGCCTTGTCCTTGCGCGAATTTTTGCCGGCATCCGATACTGCAGTTCCGCCACTTGTACATGCCCTGCGTGGTCTTCCACGAGATGGTTGTGATCGAGTGGTTGAGGCGGTAGCGGAGGTGATGGTGGTGGTGGTGGTGGTCGCGGGCGTGGTGGAGGTGGAGGTGGCGGTCCGGGCTGCTTCTGCTGCTTCTTCTTCTGCTGCTGCTGAGCGGGTACGGCGGGCGGGCATGGATGGAGCGGTTGGGCTGGTCTCTGGTGGCGGATGGGGGAGGGGGATGGGGGGGGTGGGGGGTGGGGGAGGGGAAGTGGTCGAGTGTTGGGCGGTGACCGTTGGTTGACGCAACGTTTGGCTAATGGTTATGGAGGGTGAACGATAAACGCAACGTTTGGCTAATGGTTATGGAGGGTGAACGATAAACGCAACGTTTGGCTAATGGTTATGGAGGGTGAACGATAAACGCAACGTTTGGCTAATGGTTATGGAGGGTGAACGATAAACGCAACGTTTGGCTAATGGTTATAGTGTTGCGGCACAGACCATCGATTATCCCATGTTCCCCGCAACGATTCCTCCCCTCGGCACCGTTGTAGGCAGTCCCCTCCCCCACCCCCCCTCCCCCCACCCCCGCACCCCTTCTCTCCCCCCTCTACCCCCTCACCACCACCACCACTACCACCATCACCACCACCATGCACAGCCCCCAGAGTGCAGGACGCCTCACCCGGCGGGTGGGAGGGAGACGGAATGGCACAGCTGGGTCACCAAGGGGGACAGGGCGGCGAGCAGGCAGAGGAGCAGGCGGAGGAGCAGGCAGAGGAGCAGGCGGAGGAGCAGGCGGAGGAGTAGGCGGAGGAAGCCCCGGAGCAGGACGGGGTGGAGATCGGCTGAGTAGCAGTGAGCTGATGGCTACGCTCAATGCCTCTCCGTTGGCTACGATGAGCTCGAGAGATCGGGCCATTGCCGCACTCGGCATCGATGCTGCTCATCTCGTCTCCTTGCCTCGATCACACTTTGATGGTTCGGGCTTGGATCCGGCCATCATCCGCATGCGCATCGAGTATCATGAGGAGAGGAAGCAGAGGCTGTTGGCTCTGGTTGAGGAAGAGGCAGAGCGATTGGATGCTGGCGGCACTGTCGGTGATCATACCTCGCCCATGTCGTCGCGGAGGTACCCGATGTCGCCTCCTAGGACCCCCATGGCGGCGACGGCAGCGTCAGCTGCGCCCGGCTCGGCAACGGCTGGGGATAGCACTCCAGGAAGAGGCTCGGCCAGAGGCACTCCGGCCAGCTCAATGCCTGGCACCCCGCTGGGCGGCGAGAGCACAGACGGCTCGCCGCGCCGATCGCTGCTGCGGTCGAGCCGTGGAGAGGTGACCATCCGGTCGCCGCAAGCAACGGCAGCGGCGGTGGCTGCCATCGATACCGAGGTGGCGGAGCAGTACGAGAAGCTGGTCGACAACGAGGCGCGGCGGCTGGCGGCGATCGAGCGGCGGATCGAGCGGAGCGTGGCGGCGCTGGAGCGGAGCGAGCAGATCCGCCGCGACATGGAGGAAAAGTTTGAGCGCAAGATGAAGCTCGAGGCCGAGCGGGTGGCTCGCCGCAAGCGCGAGCGCGAGGAGGCCAACGCCCGCCAGGCCGAGGCCCAGCGGCGGCGGACGGCCAAACAGGCGGATATCAACCGCCGGCGCGAGGCGCTGCTCGAGGCAAAGCGCGAGCAGGTCGAGGCTGCCGAAAAGCGGGCTGCCGAGCAGCGCGAGCTCGCGGCGGCGGCCGCCATGAAGCGAGTCGCCGACCAGGCAGCGCAGCACGAGCGCCACGCTCTCAAAGTTCGCGCCAACCTCGAGGCCGAGCGCCGGCGGCAGGAGGAGAAGCGGGCGGCGCGCGAGGCGCACGTCGCCGCCATCCGCAAGGCACAGGCCGAGCAGCAGTCGGAAAAGATCCGCGCCTCGCAGCGCGAGGCCAAGCGGAAGGAGCAACACCGCGCTGCAGTGGTTGCCCGCGCCGAGCGCGCTGCCCAGGATCGCATGGACCGGATGCTGCGGAAAGAGGCGGCGGTGAAGGAGCGGCTGGACTTGCTGGCGGCCGAGGCCGATGCCCGCAAGGCCGAGGCTGCGGCGGCACGGGCTGCGGCAGACGCAGCAGCAGCGGCGGCGCGCGCCGAGCTCGAGGCCGAGGAGCGGGCCCGCCAGGAAGAGCTGGCAGCCGAGATGGCCACCCGCGAGGCGGCCGCCGACGCCGCGCGCCGCCGGCAGGTCCAGGCCACGGTGGTCGAGCGCGAGGAGCGCCGGCTCAAGCGCCTCGCCCGCAAGGATCACGCCCGCATGATGCAGCGGCAAGAGGCGTTCCGCCGGGCGGTGCTCGCAGAGAAGACCCAACAGGAGGCCATCCTCGCCCAGTACATGGACGCCCGCAAGGCCGAGCTGCAGGCCGAGCGGGCGCGGATGCAGCACGAGGTCGAGAGACATGCCGCCCGTAAGCTCCGCCAGCTGCAGACGCAGCAAAAGGTGCGCCACCGGATCAAGGTGACCGAGCCAGCGGCACGTGCCGCCGTCACCAGCGCCCGCACCCACGGGACCAGCGGCGCAGCGCACGGCAAGTCGAGTGCGGGCGCTGCCGGTGGCGGCTCGGCCCGCCGCCGCGGCACTCTCCTCTCGATGCTGACGACCAACCCGTCGGCACTCATCGAGCACACAACACACGACGGGCTCGGCGCTCAGCACTCTCCGGGTGGCGGCGGCGCTGCTGAGACTGCGGAGCTTACTTCGGCGGCGCACGCCCTTGAGACCATCATTCCACCCGACGTCCGGCGCTCAACCTATCGCCCGCCGTGGGCGCGGTCGCCGGCCGGCCGCAAGCCGACATCACCGGCGCACGCGCCCGGGAGCGGGCGGCCGGAGCGGCCGTCACCGCGGGCGCGCCGCGCCGCAGGGCCCGGGAGCCCAAGCCGGCCGACGCACGCGACGAGGTCGGCGCGGGCCGACCTTGGCGCGTCGATGCAGCAGCTCGGCTCGTCGAACTTTGACCTCTCGGCAGGAGCATGAGCGCCAGGCACTTGTGGATTTGGTGTTCCATGCCCAGGCGGCAGCGGTGACAACAACATGTTTACATCGACGAGTAGAGCGGACCGTTTGCGCCCTCAGGCACGCGCCACTCGATGTAGTGCGGAGCGACGATGGAGCAGCACTTGCACTGGACGCAGTTGGACGGCGAGGTGTGGAGATAGGGGCCGGACTCGTTCTCCATAAAGGTGTAGACGCCAGCGGGACAGAACCGGTGGGCCTGGCCGGCAAAGCGGTTGAGATCGTCGACAGCGGTCTGCTGGGAGTGGACGTGGAGGTGCGACGGCTGGTCCTCCTCGTACGAGTTGTTGGCGAGGAAGACCGAGGAGGGGAGGTCAAACGAGAGAACGCCGTCAGGCTTGGGGTACTCGATCTCCTTGGCCGCCGGGTTGTCTGCGGTGACGCGTGCCTCGTGGTCTTCGTGCTTCATGGTGAGGGTCCACGGCGCCTTGCCAAAGGTAGCGGTCTCAAAGGCCGCGTTGGCCATGCCGGGCCAGAACCCGTACTGGAAGCCTGGGCGGATGTTGCGGACAGAGCGGAGCTCGTCGTAGACCCACGATGACTCGATGGTCTCGACGTAGTTGTCGAGTGTGATGCCCCCGGCGTCCGATGCGAGGATGGACGACGCATCGTCGCCGGCGGCCATGAGGGCAGAGACGGCGGCGTCGGCAGCGTACATGCCCGACTGCATGGCTGTGTGGGTGCCCTTGATCTTGGGCACGTTGAGGAAGCCGGCCGAGCAGCCGATGAGGGCACCGCCTGGGAAGGCCAGCTTGGGGATGGCCTGCAGGCCGCCCTCGTTGATGGCACGAGCGCCGTAGGAGATGCGCTCGCCACCGGCAAGGTGCTTGGCAACCTCGGGGTGATGCTTGAACCGCTGGAATTCGCGGAACGGGTTGAGGTACGGGTTCGGGTAGTCGAGCCCGATGACAAAGCCGACGGCGACGGTGTTGTCCTCCTGGTGGTAGAGGAACGAGCCGCCGTAGGTGGCAGTGTCGAGCGGCCAGCCAATGGTGTGCTGGATGAGCCCAGGCTGGTAGATCTCATCCGGAACCTGCCACAGCTCCTTGATGCCGAGGCCGTACGACTGCGGCATGACGCCGTCGCGGAGGCCAAACTTGTCCATGACCATCAGCGACATCGAGCCGCGCGCACCTTCGGCAAAGAGCGTGACGGGCGCGTGGAGCTCCATGCCGGGCATAAAGTCGGGCTTCTTGGAGCCGTCCTTGGCAATGCCCATGTCGCCAGTGGCCACGCCACGGACCGAGCCGTCGTCGTTGTACACCACACGGGCGCCAGCGTAGCCCGGGTAGACCTCGACGCCGAGCTCCTCGGCCTGCTCACCGAGCCAGCGGACGAGTTTGCCGAGCGAGATAATGTAGTTTCCATCGTTGTGCATCTGCGGCGGAACAATGGGCGAGGTGATGGCTGACGACTCGGAGGTGAGGAAGACAAACGAGTCATCCTTGGCCGGCGTCACCAGCGGCGCGCCCTTGTCCTTCCAATCCGGAATAAGCTCATCCAGAGCACGAGTCTCAAACACGTTTCCCGAGAGAATGTGCGCACCAAGCTCGGCGCCCTTCTCCAGCACCAGGACTCTCCGATCGTCCTGACCAGCGTCAGCAAAGGCCTGCTTTGCCCGAATAGCAGCCGAGAGACCAGCCGGACCGCCACCGACAATAAGCACATCGACCTCATCAATGAAAGCCTCATCCTCTGCACCATCATCACTCACATGTGCACTCGTCGAGAACATGCCCATGCCCATGCCCATGCCCATGGTGGCACTCGTCGGTCTCGCACAAGACTCGGTCAGCTGGGAACTCGGTCCTCCTGCCAGCTTGTGTGCCAGGATGCTGGCAGCACTTGTGGCCCTGCGGTACAGGCTCGGCTTTGCCCAGGTCAGCATGGTCGTGGTCAAGAGTATGAGGGAGAGAGAGAGAGAGAGAGAGTGTGTGTAGTGGTGTGTGTGTGTGTGTGTGTGTGTGTGTGTGTATGTGTGTGTGTATGGGGGAGGGGAGGGGAGGGGGCGGAACCGACCGCTTTTCGTTCGGTGCGGCTGATTTTTGCCGGAGGCTGTCGGTGGCGAGGATGAGCGAGTTGGTCGACGATCAGTGCGCGCGCGCGGGTGATTGTGAGTGATCAAGGTGGGTGATCAAGGTTGGCCATTTGGTAGAGGGGCGGTTGGGTGGCTTTGAGTGGGTTGTCTGGCTTGGCCTGACGGTTGAAGGCGGTGGTGAGGACATGGGACGTCATGATGACGACGCGTGTCGACGTAAGCTCTGTACTTGCGGCAACTGGCGGGGCTATTGCTCGGCGGGCAAGGTCATCCAGGGGCACGCCCACACCCAATATCATGCTCAGTACAGCAAACTCAGCATCGCCCCTCCTAATCGTCACCACACCATTCAGTCAACAACCGTCTGCTTGCCATCAGTCGCCTGCACACAACGGCCACGGCCACGGCCACCATCACCATCACCATCACCATCACCATCACCATCACCATCACCATCACCATCACCATGCGCAGATCATACTCGTGGCGACCACGGGTCCTGTGTTGGGACCCATCTCGGAGGTGTCGGCAGCAGCTGGCCGGGGAGCAGTGACAGCTGGCGGACGGGGAGCAGTGACAGTTGGCGGGCGGGCATGGACGGCCACTCAACCCTGTTGCCGGACCGCGGCGGGGTTGGGCATGTCGCGCGAGGCGGAAGCACTGAAGCGGCGACGAGAGGAGGCGCTCGACTTTATCGCCGACTCGCTGACCGAGTTGGCTACCGGCGAGGTCATTCTCCCTCGGCACCTGCTCCATGGCCGCCAGCCTGTGCCTGCTCAACTCGAAGCTCCTCCCCTCGATCCGCACGCGGCCGATGCGTACTTGAACCATGCCCTGGCTCGCCCGCTGGCCAATGTAGCTACCACCGCTACCCGGAGACGTGCGGCGAAGATCGAGGCTGCTCTGCGGCCTACCCGTCTCTCGCTCGTTGTCCAGCGCCGCATCGATGCTGCTGCTGCATTGCCAGCTGATTCACCTGCGCCTCGCTGGCCTCCGCCTCGCTCCCGTCGTCCGCATCGCATTCCGCGTGCTCCAACCATGTCGCCCGAGCTCGCACGGCTTCGTCGCAAGTATGCTGATGCAGAGCTTCCCGGTCGGGCCCCCGATCACCGGCCTCGCCGTCCGCCGGCGCGCCTTCCCCCCGGGGACACTCTACACCGCCGCGCTTGCACGCCTCGCCGCCGCGGGCGCGAATCTTTGTCACCGCACTCGAGACGCCGGCGGGCATCGCACTGAGCGACAAGCTTGAAGTGCTGAAAAAGGTTCGGCACAGCGCGCGGTCTGAGGCCAGGCCCGAGAAGCAGAGGCGCAAACCGAGGATCCTGCGGTTCTCGTCGCCGTCGCCGCCTCTGCGAAATGCAACGGCGAGTGGCGCAGCGCGGGCGCTGTCACGGGTGACGGGTCGCTCGCGCGACGCGGTCTTGCTCCGATCGCACACACCGAGTGTGTCCTCGCCACGCTCGACGGGTTTGGCTCCGGGCGCTTCGCGGCGCGATGTCCGCATCGCCGAACTTGCCGCGGCCTACCCCTCGCTCAACGTGGCCGAGCTTGCCAACCGTGGCGCCTACCACGCAATCGCTGCTGTCGTCGCCTATGTCGAAGCCGAAGCGCCAGTCCCTCTGCCTCTGGCGGCTGCCGCCCATGACGCCCTCGAGCTTCTGCACGCCGAGGAGTCGTCGCGGATCGGGATAGAGAACGCACTGGCGACGTCATCTGCGCTTCGCCGCGCACACCACTCGCTCACCCGCCGTGCTGTCTCGGCGCTCGACACCGTCGACCACCGGGCGACTGGGACTGAGATTCCGTACCGAGCCATGGCGTACTCACCGTTTATGCGGGGTGAGCTCGATGCCAAGTTTACACTGGAAGCTAAGCCGGCAAGTAGATGGCGAACGTGAGCTCCGCCTTCACGATTCCCCAGTCGCCTGGCACTGCGGCTTGTGCGTCTTCCAGTGGCCGACCTGGCACGCCCGAGAGCAGTAGCGGACGGCCCTGCAGCGCGAGCATCTCTTGAGCGCCTCGGTGGCCTTGCCGCAGGAGGCACAGCCCGCGGCCGATGCAGCAGGTTCTGTCGAGAGGCCAGCCGGCGCCTCCTGCACATCATCGTCCGAGTACGACTCGTAGCTGTACTCGGAGCTATGGGCGGGTGGGTTCGGCCTACTCTTGACGCCCGGCTCGGGCTCCGGCTGCGTCTCGGGCCAGACCAGGAGATCGACGAGCGAGCGCAGGTCACCCGCCGTAGCCGCCGATCCACAGAGCAGGCGGCGGAGGCCATCCAAGCCAAGGCGGGCGCCGAGCGCGAGCTGGTCGGCCGGGATGTGCGGCGGGGGGAGGGTGTAGCGGGCGCCAGGCGGCGGGATGCTTCCATGCTGCATGACAAGGAGGGAGAGGCGGGCGGTAAAGGCGACGAGGACGTTGGTGCGAACGCGGAGAAGAAGCGAGTGGTACTCGGGCTTGAAGATCAGATCGACAAGCGCATCGTCGTCGTGGGTGCCCCGGAGCGAGGCGCCGAGGCCCTCGACCATGTGGGAGAGGTTCTCGAGGAGGAACATCATACTGAAGAACCCGTAGCGGACCGGAATCTCCCGCATCAGCGAGTCGAGAAAGCGCAGCGAGGCGCCGAGCCTGCTCTTGCGGACGCCGACACGGAAGCGCTTGATGAGCGCACTCCGTCCCCGCATCTCTGCGTCCGTCGGCGTGTACTTGCGGCCATCGACCGAGCAGCGATACGGCTGCGCGGCGGCGGTGATGAAATCGGCCATGACATGCTCGCTCTCACAGAGGAGCGGAATGCTGATGATCTCGGGGACAGCATAGGGCAAGAGCGCGAGGAGGGGCGCATCGTGCCGAGCAGCCGAGACAACGTCACTGAGAGCTGTAAAAGCCATCATGCCGCGCCACAGCGGCGGGAGGGCATGGAAGCAGTCGGCAATAGCCCCTGCGCGTCGATCGTCACCCGAGAGAGCCAACACCAACGACGCCATGTCCGCTAGCGACAGCTTTGCCACCGATCCGATGAGCGGCCAGTACGAGTCGTCGGCCCAAGCCAGGAAGGCCAGGCTCGAGTTGAGTCCGGCGTATCGTGCCATGGCGGCCTCACCGGCCTGGCTTGCCGCCTTGCGAGCATGGGGCGAGGGTGAGGAGGGTGTGGGCATGGGTGAGGGCGTAGGGGTGGATGTGGCGGGGAGAAACTGCTCGAGCCGTCGCCAGTCGTCGTCCGCCATGGCTGGGGGGGGGGGCGAGTGAGCGAGGTGGAGCTGCTCGCCGAGGGAAATGGCGGCAGGCGAGGGAGGCCAACCATGGGATGTGATGCAGTTCATTTCAAGTGTGGTGATGTAAGTGAGGCAGGGAGGGGCAAAGGGGTGGGGTGGGGGTGGGAGGGAGGATCGGGAACACCGCTAGAGGGCGCGCGCAGTGCACACGACGCGACGCCGAGGGAGCGATGGTTAGGCAGCGTACTGCTCGATGCGGGTGAGGAGGGCCTCCGAGTCTGCGACAAAGTCAATGGGGACGGCGCGCATGACGGTGCAGCGGACGCGGTCCTCGTCGCGGTAGGTCTCGACCTTTGCGCGGAGGCGGAAGTTGTATGCCTTGAAGGTGGCCTCCTCAAAGGCATGCTGGTAGGCCGGGTCGTCGGCCTCCTTGAGGGCGGCCATCTCTGCGGCGGTCTTGCCGAGCAGGGTCGGAGCCGAGTCGTCAAAGGCGGAGAGCCAGAACGAGCCGGTGTGGTCTGCGGCCGAGACGGAGAGAACGTAGCGGTAGTTGATCGAGGTGAACTCCTTGGAGCAGCTCTCGCACTGCCAGCGGCCGGTGCCGATCTCGACAACCTTGCGGTTGCAGGTGCGACCGTCGGGCTTCTCGTTGGGGCAGGCCGGGTAGTAGAGGGTGCCGTCGGAGCGGATGTATGAGATGGTGCCGCGGACCCAGAACCAGTCGGGCTTCTCGCCGTGACCGAGGTTCTGGGTATCGATCTGCGAAAAGGTCTTGTAGACCTTGGAGAACGAGCCGCCACCACCGGCCGAGATGTTGACGCCCTGCCCGGCGGCAGCGCCAGCGGTCTCGTACCAGCCCTTGAGCTGGGCGGCCTCGGGGATGTCGGGCGAGACCGAGATGCCGGACGAGGCGCCGGTAGAGAGCGACTTGCCGTTGTAGTCGGAGATGCGGACGCCCTTAAAGGCGACGACCGGCGCGCCCGGGTAGTTGAACGCTTCGGCACGGTTGCCCCAGAGGGTGACCTGGACCAGGTGGGCGGTGTCGTCCATGATCTCGATGTCGCGCTTGGGAATCTGCGTCCCGCGAGTCTTGGACGTGACCGAGCCAAGCGGGTGGATCTTGGTCACGACGCCAATGACGTCGACGTTGGTGTCCTTGGGCAGCTCGGCAATGGCTGAGATCTTGACAAAGTTGTAGTGCTGGGCCTTGATCTCGGTTGCCGGGGCGGTGCAGAGGATGACCTCCGACTCGGCGCGGAGCGTCATCTCGTACGGCGAGTTGGTCCGCGACCAACGCTTGTCGGCCATCTTGAGCGAGCCGCCGGTGATGTAGTAGACCGAGCCCTGCTGGATGACAGGCTGCCACTTGTCGCACTGGTCGTTAAAGGCGGCAATCTTGATCTCGCCACCGGCGGCGTCGAGCACTTCGAACGAGAACAGCTTGCCCTCGGACGACGGCTTCTTCCACGTCCGGATGTCCGACTTGTTCGTCACCCGCGCCTTGATCGTCCACCGCTGCTGGTACGGGTGGAGGTCGGCAATGCGGGTGATGTGTGCCTCGGGCACCGGCGCACCCGACGCTGCCGGCGCGCCCATGGTCGGACGGGCCGAGGTGGCCATGGTGCTGGCCGAAGCCGCTGCCGCCACCGCCGCCGGCGCTCCACCGTCGGTCGGGCCCGTCAGCGTCTGCTCGGCGTTGACCGGCGAGCCGATGCGGGCATCAGCCTGCGAGACAATGTCGAGGGCAATGAGAATGACCACACGCCGCCCGTGGACCGTGTTGCACAGCGACTCGGTGAGCCGGACCAGCGAGTTGTTCTTCAGCATCTCGGTGTGCACAAGCTGGTTCAGCTGCGTCGCAAGGATGGCCTGCTGGTAGTGCTTGCCATCGGAAATGACCAGCCTGTGCGGGATAGGAAAGTCTACGCG